GCTCTTTCACTCAGCAGAATCAAGAAGGATTTAAAAGGATGGGAAGACAATTTTTTCCTAGGGTTTTCTTGCTTGCCTCACTAACTGACAACAAAATCTATGAAATATTTTATTCCCCAAGAAATGTGTTGTGCTAATTTTAGACCAAAGATATTGTATATTGTGCTCACAAATCCTGTTGCAGAAACAGTTGTTCAAGCAGAAAAACTGAACGTTATAACAATGGCAAAATTTAAACCAAACAGGTGTAGCAGGCTTTGCTTCTGAAATTGAAATATATAGTACAATAATAGAAGTTGTACTTGGCAAAGACTTAAAAAAATAAACTGAATTGTCTCAGGCTCATTGCAGCTCTCTGATTCTTCTGTGTGTAAAATATAGTCTAATTTTAGCAAGATTTGACTTTCTGGTGGGAATTTATTTTTCCTCAATCCAAATTATAAATGTTGTAATGTTCAGCAGGTGGCACCAGCTGCCCATGGCTAGTGCTGGCTCCAGGAAGACACCAAGGTGTGCTCATGTGCCTTGAGTGAAAATCTGAGTGGTACCCAGAGCCAGGGAAGTGACAGCTCCAACTCAGGCCATCTCCAGCAGCACTGGATAACGCCCTCCTCACTGTAAGGGAAGTTTATTTTTTTCCTCTCTCTTATGCCATCATATCTTGCACTTGTATCCTTTCATACTCTTGTGCCTTACCTCTGCAGTTAAATAGTTTGTGCATATACAATGCACAGCTTTTCTCAGTGCTTTACTAACCTGTAGGTGCACACTTTGTGGTACTTGGGAGTGGGATGGCCCAGCCTCATCCCCAGTGGGTGCAGCTGTGAAAAGCAGGGGAGCAGCATTGACAGCAACACTAACCCTGCTGGCCAGTGCCAGGGCAGCGTGGGATTTGCTGGCAGGAGGGGCAAGGCTGGGCAAGGGGCTGTGGACCACACCACACCACACCACACCACACCACACTCTTACCTCCTTTGGTGGACACTGCATCCTCTAGCACAGCCACTGCATTAATGAATCCGCTGTAAAAGAACAAGTGGATATGTGAAATAAATTGTTGTTACTGACTTTGTTATCTTGCCAAAAGTCCCAGCTCTTCAATGCTTCTGTACTGCTCGCTGTACAAAAGCAGTTAGGAGCCATCAGCTGGGCAGACATGAGGCACAGTATGGGGAGTGAGCACAGTAGAGCAGATCCCTTAAAGTAAGGGTCATGTACTTCCAGACTGGCTTTGCACATATTCCAAATGAAAGCAGTCTTCTGCTTATGATTATTTTTCACAGGAGCAGACATCTAGTAACTTTACCAGTCCAGACCATATTTATAGATAATATCAGTTAGTCCTAGATTTGTAATTTTTTACACACACTTTTTACACACCTTTTTTCATCACTTCACTGTGGTAATTCCCAAAACAGGACATATGTACATAATTATTTTCATGATTATTTTCAGATTACAAATGTCTAGCCAGAATAATATCCCTGACTGAACAATGTAACCCAGACTCTTTGAGTTGCCCAACTCATATTTAATTTCTGGATGGAACCAGCCAGCTTTCCCTGGAGAATTGCACTCCAGATTTGCTTGAGCACAGGCAGCAGGAGTAGATACAAAGCCTTTGCCCTATGATAGGCAGGGTCTGGATTTGGCTTTGTTTGAAGGGGTGAATGGATGGAGAGTACGAAACCAGAGGAAGCTAAATGAAAGTGTTTACACTTTTGGTAAAGTGACTGGGAGTACCAAAAGGGGAAATAGCTTTAATCATGTCTTGATACAGAAGTCATTCTGTTAACACAGGGAGTAAGGTTTTAGCTTTATGTAAGTGTTTTATATTTTACTATGGAGGCACAGAAGAAAGACATACTGCACCTCTAACACTTATTAACACTAAAGAGGGAATCTCACAGTGGTCACAAACTCTGAAGCCACAAGAAAGCTAGAAAGTCATCTTCAATAAACCCTTTGATAGCTTGGTATGCGCTTCAGTTGATTCCTCAGGTTAGTTCCTTTGCATGTTCTCTGTCGTTAAAAAGCATTGGCAGTTTTTCATAACTCCCCACCTTTAAAATGGGTTGCCTTAGTTACCATGGCCAGCTTGAGAGACAACAAATTTAGTACTAATACATTTTCAAATCTCTGCAGTTTCTGTAAAATCTGTCATAATCAGTTACTAGATACACTTTTATCATAGTGTTAGTAAGCCAAGTGGTGATTCCTAATCAAGTTAAATAAGGAGAGAAGATTGTCACAGGCCAGAACAATGGCCTTGTGTCATTACCTTAGTGACTATCCTGTGAATATTAGGTGAAACAGCTTGTGGAGTTCCCCTGTAACTGGAAATAAGGTTGGCTTCAAGTGGCTCAGATGTCTGGTGCTTGGAAGCGACATGCTGCAGTCAAGGTCATGCTTTCCCCAGGAGGAAGCTGATAAGTCTTAAGTTGTCTTCTTGATTGGTGATTCATTATTTCCTCTGGCACTTCAGAAAATCAGAGAAACCAATTAGTATTTTAAAGGTTATTTTTTAAAGGGTAACTACTATCCACGATAAACAGAATTAACAGTGGTCTCAAAGGCTGTTGATTTATCTTGGTCTCATCAGCACAGTATTTGGTTTGAGAACACCTCTCTGTGTAACCTGATGTGATAAAAGTAATTTTTCACCTCTACTCTTTTGTTTATCTTTTAAAATTTTAAGTAGGGTGACATAAAGTTTAGTGACATTTTATATTACTTGTGTAGTTGTTTAAAGTTCCTAAAACCCCTTTAATTACAGAAAGATATTTCTCTTCTCAAGGTGAGGACTTGGCAGTAAAGGAGGAAGCAGTGCCTGAGAAAGTGTGGCTGTTTGCAAGCTCAGGGTCTTAGGGGACAGTGGAGGAAGGAACTTGGAGTTCTGCTTTCATGGAAGCATCTCCTTCTCTAAAGAGCAGCTGTGGGACGTGCTGTAGGACTGGAAGTTCTCTGGTCATTTGTGCAGAGGGAGTGCTTTTATTGTCCTTAAACCTTAGCCTGGGTTGTTGTGATCAGCTGAGTGAAAAATAAGAAACCAAAAACTGTGGGTTTATTTTTTTATTAAATTTAATTTATTAAATTAGCTGCTAGGTATTTCACTGCAGCCCCACTGTTTATCCTGCTCAATAAACTGACATTTGTTGATGCTTCTAAACTGCATGGCTCTCTGAGTTTGAGATAAATATCTCAAACTCAATAAGAGTAATGTGAGGGAGGAAAACAGTGAATCTACCTTTTATAGCTTCTCCTAGTAGCAAAAGCAACTTCCAAGTCTTCAAATCACTAAAGAGTCCACATTTTCTTAGAAGCTTTTGTTTTTCTGAAAGATGGGTCTATCCTTGTGAAGCTTCACATGGCTGAAATTACTTAATGAACATGTTTTACAAATGTTTAAATGACAATGAGGAAAAATAAGCAACAAGTCAGCCTCAGTCCTTGGTCACAGGACAAAACCAGGTGTTTTTGTTTATGTGGATTTGTATCCTGATGCATGTAATTGTGCAGACTAACCACTGTGTGTTTTTTAATACATGGTATCAAGAGAGCAGGTACCACTTCAGCTTCTGCCAGTTTCTGGACTTTCCTTCACAGCTTTACAAACAGAAATGCCCTCTGGGATCAGCCCACTGGTCCACTTGCTCCCAGTGGTGCTGCTGTTTATGGGGAGGGCATGAGCCCAGGCATTTCCTGCAGTCCTTTCCCCCCAGCCTCCACAGCTGTTGTGTCTGTGATGTTAGGGAATACATTTATGGACCCTTTCCTTGAGAATGTATCTAATCCCTTTCTGAACCTATTGATACCATCTGCCTTGCAGTCTCCTGCAAGTTCTAGAGATTTACTGCCCTCTGTGTACTGAAGTACTTCCTCAAGTGTGTTTTATAATGATTTATCTTTGCAAAATCCCCAGGAAAAAGAGTATAGTCATCCTCATTTGACAGAGGGAAAGATTAGGAGGGTTGTTTCCAAAAGCACTTGTTCATAGATGTCTCATGCATGAGTTTCTCTAATGTGAGGCATTTGAGTTTTCAGATGCCTGAACTGATTTCTAGCTAGAGCAGTCATGTGCAATGATTAACAAACAAGTGAGGATCACTTGTGGTGTTGTTTGATTTATTGACTGACCCATAATTAAATACTAATTCCATAGCAAAGCAGAGACTTCATTCTCCATTCCCTTCATTCTCCCAGTCATGGTCAACTTCTTTTTCCTGGAGGTTTTTATCTGGCTCATCATTTGTTATTTTGTGCAGCCAGTATTAAAAAGGGGCCACAATAAAAGCTGGCATTATTCACTGATGTTCCAGACTTGTCCACTGAACAAAGAGTGGCATTTGCCTGATCCAGGGAAAGCTGCAGTGGAAAACACAGTGTAGAACTGTACAATTCCAGCCTGTCTGTTAAGGCATGTATATAAAGATGCAGAATTAATATCGCTAGGGTGGAAAGCATCTCAAAGAGTGTCTTTGAGAAAATATGTCTTACAAGGAGTGGCTGAGGGAGTTGGGCTTACTGAGTCTAGAGGAGATTTAGGGGGGACCTAATTGCTCCCTACAATTACCTGACAGGAGGCTGTAGTGAGGTGGGGATCAGTCTCTTCTACTGTGCCTGCAGTGAGAAGGTAGAGGACAATGGCCTCAAGCTGAGGCAGGTGACATTCAGATTACGTGTCAGAAAAAAAATTTCCCTGTGGTCTAGGGGTGAGAGTGCTGGATTGATGGTTGCTCTTGTTGATCTCAAAGTTCTCTTCCAACCTTGATGAATCTGTGATTCAATGATTCCACGATCATCAGTATTTCAGAACCTAAACTCCCACAACATCCCCATCAAAATCAAAAGAGGACGAGAAGAAAGTGCAAAGGAAGCAGGAAATCAGAAGTGTCCAGAACCAACAGGTGGTGTGTGCCCCATGCGGTCGCACATCCAGCCGTGACGCTGGTGTCGGGAGCGCCCGGGGGTCCCGGGCCGGCCCGGGCTGTGGCCAGCGCGGCTCGGGCTGTGGCCATGGCCCCGCGCCCCGCCGCGCTGCCGCGCCTGCTGCTCTCGTCCGCGGCGCGGGCGCTGCTGTGGCTCGGCCCCGTGTACCTGGCGGGCTACCTGGGGCTGAGCGGCAGCTGGCTGCTGCTGGCGCTGGCGCTCTGGCTCTGCTGGGGACTCAACCGGCGGGGGAAGCGCGACCGCCTGGCCGCCGCCTTGGCGCTGCTGGAGGACGAGCGGGAGGCGGTGTGCCGGGGGCTGGCCGCCCGGCACCTGCCGGCCTGGGTGAGTGAGTGAGCGAGCGGCGCGGGTCCTGCCCCACCGCACCGCGGATGCTGCGGGGCCCCGGAGCGCCACAGAGAGCGGGGTGTCCCGGAGAGAGCAGCCCAAGGACTGCCAGTGATGCCTTGGGCCGAGCGGTAGCGTCTTTGGTTTTGAAGTCTTGCCCAGGAAAGCGAGGATTAAACTAAGGAGTTGTTTTAGCTCAGGAGATGTGCTGTACGTGGGCATGTAAAACAGACTGATGTATGGTCAGAGACACCTCCCTTCAAATACATGTTGTTGCATTGCAGGTATTTTGCTGTTGAAGATACTTATTTTAGGCTTTCTCATCCAGCAGATTTTCTCCCCTCTAGTGTCATTTGAAAACAAACAAAAATATATAAACATTATATTCTCATCCTGCTAAAAACCCAAATATTTAATTTTAAGGAGTCGTCTCTGGACGGTACAGAAGGCCAACCCCCGTTTGTTGTTCCTATTTGTTTCTAGTAACTCTACGTTTTAAAGTGAAGAAACCAATATTTCTGCCTGCATTTTATTCTGTGTCTTAGGTTATTTATTGGGCAGCTGTGGTTGGCTAATGGAAAGGATGATGAGGTGTTTAGATCTTTTTTCTTTTATCATCATTTACTTAGCATTTAAAAATCTGTCAGGGACTGGTAGGGAAATGCTTTTCTTGTAAAGTGTGTTGCATGGAGGCATTTATAGTCGGCAAACTTTTATATAGCCTACAGCACTTGGCTCTACTTAATTCTGTGGGAAATGAAGGCAGCTGGCAGTTCTGAGGAGTGAGGCCAGGGTCTTCTGCCAGGGCTGATGCAGCTCTCTGCACATGTTCCCTCCCACCAGGCACAGAAGTCTGTCTCTGAATGAGGTTTCTGCTTGTTTGTATTGACAGAGCATAAAACAACCCCAACAGTTCAGGGCATTAATGAATGTGGTGGTGTCAGCTCTTGCCCTGATGCTGTGAAAGCAGTGTTGTGTTTTATCCTCAAGTGCCCTGAATCATTGTAACCAGAAATTGAGCCTCTTAGTCACTGTTGAAAAATCAGGCTTGCCCCCACAGTGCACACAAATTCAAAAAGTTCCATTAGGTTTTGTGGCTGAAAGTTTCAGGCTTCATTAGTGTGGGAGCAGGTGATTATTGATTGCCCTGTACTGAGCCTTCACAAGGCTGCACAGAGAGCAATCTGTGCCCCAGCCCAGGAGAGGTTTGGGCAAATGGGGAGACTGCAGCAGAGGCCACTGAGATGGTCAGGGACTGCAGCACCTGGGGTGTGACAGTGCTGGGGCTGTTCAACCTCCTTCAGGAGAAAGGAAGGTTTAAGGGCTATTTCATTTCTATCTCCACTGCCCAACATGTGCTCATAGAGATGGCAGAGTCAGACTCTTCCCAGAGGTCTGATTTGTGACTTGTGAATTCTTGGCCCTTACTCCTGGAAGGCAGGGTGTAGGCCCTAATGATAAAGGGGCTGCACAGTGTGCTTTTAGTTTTATCTATATTGCCACTTCCTGTCCTTTTGTATGTTGGTAACTTTTGTTCATCAGTTGGGTGTTTGCTTCCACACTGCTCTTGTTCTTGATGCTTTTTAACTCCCCAGTTTTAATTTTCCTTCCATCCCCATCCTCTATTTGATCTACTTCTTCCATTTGCCCATCTTGGAGGCTGATTCTCACCTGATGTCTATTCAGTTTATTGTCTGTCGTGTTATCTTTTTTATCTTTTGGTTTTGCCTTTCAGTGTTCATGGACCTTCTAAAACTATCTGCTGAGTTCTTCTCTCCTGTCACACAGAGGTGGCAGTAGCTATGCAGTTCAAGGGCAGCATGGCTTGGATTTGCAGTGTTGTAATCTTAGGAATGGTTTTGAAGGTGTGAAATGATGGCAGTGTCTTGGCATTCATAAATCTTTGTCTCTTCATGTGGTCTGTAATAAAATGAGGGGGATCCATCCACTGAAGTGTTAAGAGCAATCATTGATTTTGCTGTTGGTTAAAAATTGTTCTCCCTAAGAAGTGGCTTCTTTAAATTGGCTTGGGTTCTGCTCAGCCCTGGTATCAGTTGTTAGGAGATACACAGAATGCAGCCTTTCCTTTAGGGGGGATGCTGGGAGGGTTTCCCTAATCTACTCAACCATCTGTTTTGGGGTATTTGCAGGATTGTTTTGCAGCACCAGTTTCTTGGCTGAAACCAGCCAGTGAGTTTGGAATCAACGCATTCCTGTGCTAGACAGTGTACGTGGGCAGGCTGTGCTTCCTCAGGAAACCAGGCTGGAAATCTGCTCATGGCAGGCACAGTCAGATCCATGGCTTGGAGAGTTGAGACCTTCTGACTTCAGCCTTTAGCATGACTCCTGTACAAGCTGGCAGTGCTCAGAACAGAGGTAGCCAGGCTTCCACCTTCATTCCAGCTCCTGGGGTTGTGGTGACTGCTCTGTGTTGCTTTTGCCACTGGTCATCTGGCTGCACGTGGCAGAGTCTAAGTATGCTGTGTTTCTTCCTGATGTTAAACTCCTTTTACCAGGCAAAATACAGTAGTATTTTGGGTATTTGTACTACAGATCTGTCCTTTTAAAATGTTGCCTTTTAAGTCCTTGTTCATGCAAAAGCCTTGTTTAACCTTCTTTTTTTTCCCCTCTTGTATGAATAGCTAAAAATCCTGGCTTTTTGTAAAAAGAAACAAACAAAACGCCAAAATCCCCAACAAAACCCAAAACAACCCAACAAACAAGCAAAAAACCAAACCAAACCCTGATGGATAGATTGCTGTGTTGTATTTGAACAGAATGGTGCTGTTATGTCAGACATGGGTTTTGCTGTTGCTGTGATCCTTGCGGTGGCTTGCTCCAGGGCAAGGTGGAGTCATACAGAATTTACACATTTTCTTTACCTGCTAGTAATTGCCCCATACCTAGTGTTTTTGATCTTCAAAGCTCTTTTCAAATGCTAAGTAATTTTTACTGCATTCCTTAAACTTTGGCAAGAAGTATGCCTGCTTTTGTAGGTGGGTAAAACTGATTCTGATAGTGGGACTTGCCCAAGGCTACAGGATTAAATCTTACTCTGTGTTAGTATTAATTTGGCAGCTCTTGGTGTCTGGTTCTGGGATTAGTAGGAAGTGTTTTGGGCTCCTTCTACCTGAACTGATGACAAGCTCATGGTAAGACCTTGCTGGTGGGGCTCTCACCATTAGCAAGGCCAGAAGTGAGTCTGAAATCCAAAGCACATGGTTCAGAAGTATGGAACTGCAGATGGTTTTATTTTCAAAACATATGAGGATACATTAAATTCTTGGAATAACTGGTTGAGTCAAGAAGACTGGTGAGTCAGGAGCCTGGTGGTGTCACTGGGCTGAACTAGCCATGAACTAGACATGCTAGCTAGCATTCATGTTATGGGGATACCCCGTGGGTAGGAAAGGACTTGCTCAGAGCTTATGTCTTACTACACAGTGGATAATGCAGTTGCAACACCTAGATACCAAGCTCTGCTTCCTCACAGAACTGCTCATTTAGCTCATACCACTGAGTGGAGCTGAGCTTTGGTGTTGAGAACCCACTGAAATTTGGTGGCCTGCCATAAAGGGCAGAAAGCTGTTTTTCACCAGCCATGCAATCAGCCAGTGTCTGTGGTGTTCTCTGCAAGGCCAGCTTTGTCAGCCCAGGAGCCCCCAGTGGTCTTTGGTCCCAGCCTTTGAGCTCCAGCAGTGCCATTTTTTCCGTCTGTCAGAGGAGACTGAGGCACCAAGTGCCTGGGTGGGACCTGGGTTGCAGACACCTGAATAAGGGGGTGTCAGGTGGGGTGGAAATGTACCACAAATGTCTGCTATCACAGCATCTGAGGTGTGACACAGTGCAGTGTGATTCATTGCAGTTGCTTTGGAGGTTTGTTGTGGGCTGTCGGTGGTTTGGGTGTGTGTGGCACAAATAATGAATTCAATTTTACTTTTTCTTAGGGTGGGTCTACCTACAGCCTCATTCTCATGGTTTTTGCATCTTTCCTGATGCCCCTTTTTGTTGTTTCAAGTCTCTAGGAGCCTTGCCTCTGGGGAGTAATCCCAGACAACTGTAATGGTTTATGATGCCCCACATTTCTCCCCTGCACATATGAGCTGTGACTTTCTCACTGGGAAGGGGTAGCCTAACTGTTGTCCTGTCCTTTCTTTGGGGTTACATCCCTCTCCTGTCTGTGAAGTGTTTTGAAGAACAAGCTCACCATGCTGCTTCCATCTCTCCTCTATCCTTCCTACATGTGATCCCAAGCTGTGGCCCAAGTGCTGCAGGATGTTTTTGCTTGACAATTACATTGGAGCTGAGAACCCAGGATTTATGTGCGCTGATGGAGAGCCTTTAGGTGGAAGATGAAAGGCTGGCAGGTGAAGTGGAGGTCCCTCGATTCATATAATCTGCCTCACTGTAAAATATCAGCAGCAGTTTGTCTGTGTTGATTGTCCCCTTCTGGTGCTGAGTTCTAGCTTCATCGTGCAAATAGACCTGTGCAGGCTGACATTTCAGTGAACTTCTGTTGTCTTATTTAATGGAACAGTTGCTATTTAGAGCATCAAAAGAAATTTCTTATAAAGAATATGGTAATATTACTTCGGGTTTTTTTAATGAGATCATTTGAAGCATTATTTGAGCAAGGAAAATGGGCTCTTCAATCATATATGAAGCTGTACTGAAAAACAGGCTACTGTCCATTCCATCCAAACATCTCTGAGCACCTCTCTGAAAAAGGATGAATAGTAAGGCTTTGTCTGGAAATTGTAATTCACAGCTCTAGTAAGAGGAGGTATTATCCTACCCAATTACTATATACTACCCTATTACCAGGCTAGATGATAGTCAGATTCCCTTTGTATTCAGGTGCTCCAATGTCTATTCTGAGAAGCTGCTGCAGTGTCCTTCCCTTCTGCAGTAACCTGCTACCAGCTTGTAACACCAGCTGCAAATACCACATCCATAGGCTTTAATGTGTGATTGCAGTAAGGTGATTTTAACTCTTCACTCAGCAGCTTCTTGCAGTGGTCTGAGAGATCAGTTACTTGAGAGTGGTCTCATACCCAGTTGTCCTGATGGTGATTAAGCAAGTCATCACTTGTGGGAAGTTGTGGGGTTTTGTAATGGGCATATGCACTTCTTGTTGGCATTTGGTGTGTCCAACTTGAAAACATGATGTATAAGTGACTATTTCATTTTAATTTCTCCTTACCATCTTAAAAAGCTCAGAGAAGTGAAAACACTGGACTGTTCCACATGATAGTGTATGCTAACAGGCTTGAACTCTTACGCTTCTTTTCCCTGAAGCCATTGGCACCACGTTGGTATTAGTGGAGAAATGCTGCCACAACCAATACACTGAGTTTCCCAAGCAGGTTCTTGTTTTCCAAAGTGTGGTGTCCTGGTTGAGGCGAGTGAGTACAGGAAACAGGTCATGCACAGCTCATGGTCTTAAAGGGAAGTAGGTTCTCGTGGCTTCCCAAGGCATGACAAAGAGAAGGATGAGAAATCTAATGCTGCTTTACATCATGAACAGGAAGTGACACTTGCTATAATCATGTAAATGTGCCCAGAGGCATACTGATACATCAGTGCACGTGGGTTCTTTTGCCTTTTACTATTCTTTACTGGCTTCTTGGCATTTTACAATTTTTCAAGGAGGTAGTAAATTATAAAGAATGTATATATGAGGGCAGAGGCATCTCAGCTTACTCTAACACTTGTTCCACACTCAATGTTATCTTTTGCATGCATTGCAGTGTTGACAAAGAGATAGCGTGTGGCACTCACTTTATTTTTCTTTGCATCCAGGTTCACTTCCCTGATGTGGAACGAGTGGAGTGGCTGAACAAGGTGAGGAGCTCTCAACTCCAGCTGGTGAGGCCACCTGCTCTGAGCTGCATCCCCTCATCCAAACCCTGTAGGACAAATCTGAGAAAGTTATCAAATTACCACCAAATTAGTGTAGTTCAGTTTTATCAGTGTCTATACTGAAGTATGGAGTCACTTAAGTGTGGGGTTGCCACTGAAGTTGAGAGCTAATGTGAGCCTGGTTGATACAAGTTGGATAAATTCAAGAACACTTCATTCTGAGACTAAAAAGAAAAAGCAACTGTTTGTCTGTATATATGGATACATACAAGTGTATGTTATTATTATTTTAGCCAACTTAGTAGTATCTCACCAGAAAGGTTCCAGAGAGCACTGAGACAAATGCTTCCATCAGCAGGTGTGGTCAATCTCTCAAAGTAAAACAGCTGAACTTGCAAATTAGCATCCAGTGACTATCTTCTTTTTTGGTGGTTTTTTTTAGCAAATTTTCTTTTTTATGTAAAAAGCTCAACTCAGTCCTCTAAATAAACCTAACTCCAGGGAACATTATGACACTTTATAGTAATTAGGGATTATTGTACTTAAGAAATTTAACCGTGGGTTTTGTTGGCTCCTGTGGTTAGAAGCAGCCTCCATGTACTGAAAACTCACCCTTCAGTTCCTGAAACAAATTCCAGTTCTGAGGAACAGAAATGGATCCTTCCATAAGGATAACTTAAGTGCACAAAGTTGACTTGGTATTTTAAAAGGACAGATATTAATAGCCAGGATCCTGTAATTGGTATGTTTGTTTCTCAGCAAAAGGTGTCTTACTCAAAGAATCTTCAGTGTGTTCCTGCTTTTGCTGTTCTTTAGGTCCTTGTGCAGGCTTGGCCATACTTCGGAACAATCATGGAAAAAACATTTAAAGAAGTTCTTGAACCAAAAATCAGAGCAAAGAGTGTACATCTGAAAACATGCACCTTTACCAAGATCCACTTTGGCGAGAAGGTAGCGGGAATCTTCTGTAACTCTTGTGGTTCACTCTTTTCTGAAAAGTTCAGATGCAAGGGAAGTGAGATGTTCAGCTCTGTAATAGCTTTGCTCCCTCCTCATGTTGACTTGAGCATCTTCACCATGAAGGAAGGATTGTACAGGAAAGACACACATCTCTTCCCACTTGCTGTCAGTATCCTGGGACTGCTGATAGAAAAAAAGAACCATATCCATATTTATTTATGTTGTACCCTTGCAGCAGGAGTTTTCAGTGCTTTCTAAGGCTTGCAGAATGGCCTAGGGCTACTTAAAACTAGCCCTGTGTTTGAGGACTGTCAAGGCTGTTCTGTCTTTAAAGAAAAAAAAAGTATGGTATACTCATATTTTACATGCAGTTTTGCAAAGTATTTAATTAAGGCTTCTGTACTCAAATTCATCAATGTGAGTAGGACTTTTCACTTGTGCTTAGCTTGATAGATGTTGACTATGTTGTATCTTGTTTGTCTCTATTTCAGTGCCCTAGAATTAATGGAATAAAAGCCTACACCAAAGAAATTGATAGAAGACAAGTTACCCTGGACCTGCAGATCTGGTAACATTGCATAATCGATTATGTTGATGGTTCGTAACTTACTGCCTGTGGATGTGTCATGCTGGACTGGGCATGGTGTACTAAGATTAGCCTAGAATGATGTGAGATAATCTGTCTCCCAGCTGGATGTCCTCAGTAGTTACAGAAGTGAAATGTGCATCAGCCTCTAGACCAGAAATGACCTGCACAGCTCTTCGTGTTACCTCCTCTGGCCCATCACGACTGCCTTGGGTATAAGAATGTGTCCCTTGCCTTTGCCATTGATGGCAGTGAGAACCCAAGTTTTCAAACTGTGTTTCCTGTTCTCAGGAAAGCTCTCAGGTCTGAAGGTGCTTGGTCTGTCTTGCCCACTGTGGTTTCTCATTAGACCAACTTCTCCAGTTCTTCCAGAGCTACTTGCACTATTTATTTTTAATTCCTTCCTCTAGATTAATCCTCTATTTTAGTCATTTGTTTTATGTGCCATCCAACACATTTGCTTTTTTGATTACAGCCATTCTCTGAGCAGAGTACTGCCTCTAGCTCTATTAACAACAACAACAACAAAATTGGATAAAACATTTAATACCTCCCAGGCTGTTTTGAATGAGCTTGTATGTTTTGTTAACATCAGAGTCATTGCAGAGCTAAACTCTCTCCTGGTTTAGCCCTGGAGAAGGGAATTGCTGGGGGAATTACCACTTGCAAGCTGCTGTAGCTCTGTAAATTTAGTGGGTGACTGAGCTGCCTAATATAAATTGGCTTTTCGTGGTAGTGCCAGAAAAAAGCTGTGAAATTACAGACTGTCTTGGCAACAGCACAGAGCTCCTCAGAACTGTGCCTGCTGCTGAACGTGGTAGTGGCATGGCAGCACCCCCAACCCTGGCAGAGCATCACTGCTCCCTGTAAATTCACATGCTTGATTTTCAGCCAGGTGTTTCAGTGCTGTTGTTGTAATACCCAAGTCAGTGTTAGGGCCTTTGGCAAATCATTCATGCTTTCTATGTTGAGATTGAGAGATCTGATGCCTTTTAAGCCTTGCAGAAGGTTGCTGCTGTTCTCTGCCAAACTGCATCTCCCACATGATCATTTTCACTGTCTTTTGACAAACCTCTGCAGAGGGATTCCCCCACCTCTGCATTCCTGTCCCTCTGGCAGACTCATCAACATCTCCAAACTGGACAAGCACTTCTATTCCTCGTGCTGATAACCTAACCTGGTGCCATCTGATAACCCCAGTGTTTTCTGTATTCACACAGGAGCGTGGGTTTGCCTTCCCTCTCTGGTGGGGTCTCTTCTCTAGGGCTGCATTAAGGCCTCAGCCTCACTTGTGTCCTTCTTACCCTTCCTTTGTCGTCTGTGTGGAACCATTTGTGTAGTTCATTAGCCACTCATAGACATGTGATCCAGGAAGGGCTTTGTTTCACCTTGTGCTCCTGAGCTCACCAACATGGTGCAGCACTGAATGCCATGGTTCAGTTCTATGGGCTATGTGAAGAGGAGCTTCCTTTCCTCTGTGATAAGTTTGTGGTGTCACAAATTGCATCCTTTGCTTTGGGAAGTGTGAAAAATAGGACTTAGAGGTCCCTTATTTGTATGGACTGTAGTTGTCAACAGAGTCAGGGATGCAGGAGATCTAGTACTGCATGAAGTTACCAAAAGAACTTGAGAAACTGCTTTACTTAAATCTGTTCATAGCAGCTTACATGGCTGTAGCATCAGAGCATTGGGAATGGTTATATAGAGCACTGTCCTATTATAGTTTTGACTTTCTCCCATGCAAAAGGACTATATACTCCATTTTTCAAACTGGGAATGGTCCAAGTGCAGCTGCTTGACTTCCTACAGCTGCTTTCCTTTCCACTAATTTTGCAGCTGCCTCAGCTGCTGCATAACCATATCAACATAGGCTATAATCATCAGATTTTGCAAGTATTTGAAGGCACTATTACCTCCCTGGAAAACACCTTGCAATCCAGTTTATTCCTATTTCATTAATATGATTTAGTATTCACAAGCGTTTTTCATTAGAAATGTTCTGAATTTTCTTTTGCATGATCTTCAGTAGAATTTCCAGTACATGAGATGTCATAGTTTAATAATTGGCATGTGTAAAAATTCCTTGATTAAAATTTACTCTTAGAAGAGAATCTCTGATTTTGAGAGCTGGAAATACAGTCTCTATCTGGTGAAAGAAGTCAAAAGAAATGTGCAACAATATTTTGAGCTTTCATGGAATTTGGCATAACTAAGTTTGTAAGCTCTTAGAAGAAACTCTCTGATTTTGAGAGCTGGAAATACAGTCTCTATCTGGTGAAAGAAGTCAAAAGAAATGTGCAACAAGTTTGTAGGCTCTTAGAAGAAACGGAAAGCATTTTGGTCAGTCTTGAACAAAAAGAGATACCTGCCCCTAGAAGCCTGACTGGACAGGGAGAGGGGAAAGGCAGAGGTGGTCTGGCTTTTCTCATACCCTGTGTTGCCTGGTTACATTTTCATATCTCCCTACTTTGTGTAATTCTGCATGTTCATCTCCCAAGTCCAAAGGCAGACTAAGCCTAGTCTGTGTCACAAAGCACTTGAGGAGGCTGGGCCAAAGGGGGCATTCAGCATGGGGGCCATGAGGAGATGGGGCTCCAGGGCAGTTACTCTACAGGCAGGGGGTTGCCTGGGCTTTTTCTAAAGGGACATGCAGACATCCAGTTTAATTAAACTTGCCAGCTCTGGTAGCAGCCCTGCCTTCAGCCAGTGGATTGCCTTTGTATCACAAACACTGGGCCCAGCTTTTCCAACCAAATACAGAACAGACACAGATACTTGCACTTGAGCAAGGTTCTCATCCACAGCACAGGCATAGCTGCATCACCTTGTGCAACAGTGATGTAGGAGAGAAACAGGTGATTCTTCCACCCTCCACAGGTGGGTACAGCACAGTCCTGTGGAGCGTGCAGAGGCTCAGCCTTTTAAGTGTCAAGGCTTGAGTTTGGCTCAGGTGTGCTCTGGGGCAGGACAGCAGAGAGCACAGCAAGGTTATGCTGCACAGAGGAGCAGATGGAAGCACGAGCAGCTGGGACTGGAAATGAGGAATAAACTAATGAACAAAGAGTTCATCCTTCCTACCAAGGAAGGGGGTGATACCTGTATGAGACAGACATAAGGCTAATTAAAGGCTCAGGCTCTGCTAAGACTTCTCTGACATCTTTACTGGAGAAAAGAGACATCTAGAACTGAGTGGGAAGAGTTTTTGACTGTGGAAAAGTAGAAAGGCTGTAAAGCACCACGGCTCTTACTTGTGTTGTATTAGACACTTTCAAAAGCTGACATCTTTACTGGAGAAAAGAGACATCTAGAACTGAGTGGGAAGAGTTTTTGACTGTGTGGAAAGGTAGAAAGGCTGTAAAGCACCACAGCTCTTACTTGTGTTGTGTTAGACACTTGCAAAAACTGAATTAAATCCTCTTGGATTAATTACTGCAAATTAAGGAACTAATTTTGGCTCCTCATTTAGAATTTTATTGTAACAATACTCTATTAGCACACAGTGTAATGACCTGTAAGATAATGTCAAATTGTAGAAGTTAACAAACATAAAATAAGTTTAATTATGTCACTAGCTTTTAAGAAAGATTGTGTTAATTTCAGCATGGTTTATGAGGTTGGAGATGAGAATGCTCTAACATTAAAGGCTTTATTCTATATGTTATGAGCTCCTGAAATTCTTCTAGGTGACTACCTGTAAACAAATGTACAAAGGACTTTGCTTGCAAAAGTGGAGGCAAATTCACAGGGTTGTGTACTCCTGGCAGCCTTTTTGGGGTGGGAGGGAATCTGTCTATATGCAAATTACAATTTGAATTTGTGGCAACTGCAGTGCTATTTGCTCAAATACATGTGGTCAGAGCAGAACTCCTGCCCTTTTCCTTTGATTATGGAATGAAGTTATGCATGTAGGCAGCAAGCACAGCACATTCACTGCTGCAGTACCTTTACACCCTGCTTTACCTGCAGGGTGTTTGTGTGTCTGCAGCCAGAGCTATTTCTCAGGGGGCTGAAAGGGAACTTGGTAGCTCCCTTCAATTGTTTTCTGCCAGAGGCATCAACAGACCTGTCAAGTTCTGCTCCCTGGGGAGTGGCCATTGGTTTCTGCATAAGGTGATGTTTGTACTTTTATAAAAGTCTGAGGTGCTTTCCAAATTCCAAAGTACTGCATTCAGCATTTGCTTTATTTAAAGCCTGATGTTCTCCATGGCAACTGACCACAATCTGATCTAAGTAGTTGTCTTTGAATTCAGCCTCAAGGAAACCAGGTTATTTTTAGTGATAAATTTGTCCTTCAGGTGGGTTTTTGGGTTGTGGGCATGGGTGATCTGTGGGCTTTTTTGGCGAGGTGGAAACCCCATAAATAATGGCAGGATGGCTCTGCATCAGCCTGGGAGCTTGGTCACCAGGCTGTGGGGTGGGATCAGGCTTTGGGCAGGGAAGGGAGCAAGAGGGCAATGGCTCTGACCTTGAATTTTGAATGAGCATCTTGGTCCCCTTCTTGGAGCAAGCTTGCTCCAGCCAACCCCCAGTCTTAAGAATGGAAATTAACCTGGAAATACAGCTGTTGCTTCAATGTTTTACAGGTCCATCAATATCCCAGCTGACTGCAAGGATTCTCTTGTGAAAGAGCTGCCCTTTGTTCAACTTCCTCTTTTCAGTCACTTGAAAATCCATCTCTGCCTGTGGGATCATGTTGTCAATCCTTAAACTGATTTCATTTATACTCTGTACAGCCCCAAATTTCTCATGGCACTATTGCAAACTGTGGAATAATGTGAGAATTTTCTTTCAGTTACATAGGGGACTGTGAGATTCACATGGACATATCGAAATTTAATCTTGGCGTGAAAGGTGTACAGGTGCGTGCAGTGCTAACATTGTCTGTTCAAGGCTGTGTGGGGCAGGAGGTGGCACCTCCCAGTGGGGAGGTCATGACAACTGGGAAACTAGCAACTGTCAGGCTTGGAATGATTGGCTTTATCTCCTTGTTCTCGGCTGGGGACATGAGGCCTTCCATGAAAAGCACTTAAATGCCCCTTCTGAGCTTCATAGAATGACTCTTAAAACAGGGTTGATGCTGGAGCATGGAGTATGTGTGGGCCAGCAGCTGCCACTGGAGTTCAGAGGAGCTCAGAGTGTTGGTAGAGAACTTCAGAAGAACCATGATGTTAATAAACTGATGTAGATTAAACCACAAGAATCTGTTCCTGGAATGTTGAAAGCTAGTAGACAGATGGCTCCATTGTATGGCAGGATTGCAGAGAGATTCCACAAGCACAGAAAGCATTGCCTGATATCAGTAGCAATGGTTTGGGGGGAAATGTTTTTGTTATAAAATTCTAAATAAATTTACTTCAAGTAGAATTTCTAAAATTATCTCCATCACTGAAAAGCTCACGTTTTGAAGCTGCACTATGAGAATACCTTAACCCTGAGCTTTCCTGCTCTGTTTGCAGTTGTATGGGACGTTGCGGGTGATCTTGGAACCTCTCCTGACCGATGCCCCCTTTGTTGGAGCAGTGACCTTGTTTTTCATGCAGAAACCGGTGAGTCAGGAGTGAGCTGCTCTCTGCAGACTTCTTGGTCTTTAGTGAGTGACATGAGGTGTCCATCACTGATAACCCAAACTGCATAACTGTGAATACCTCGCAGTTCAAATGACAAATTCCTAATTGCGCATTGTCCCTCTTGAATTTGGGGAGGATGTGAATTAATTCACTCTATATTTTTGTAGTAATGCCTAAACAGTTACTCGCTTCACTGTAAGAATAGGAGGACTGTCTTATGGTGGCAGCACAGGAGCTGTTTCTGCAAGGTTTATGGCTGTTCTACCTTCCCATTCACAGATGTTAAATATAGTCATTTTGGAGACCATTCATGTTGCCTTTTGAAAGCTAGCCTGTTTAAGTTCATGTCCCTTGTACTCAATTGCGGTTTAATAAAATATGAGAAACCCTCTAGTCTTGTAAGAAGCAGTTATCTTACAGCACACAGCTTTGCTTGTGGTTTATGCTCTGCTTGAGTTCATGAAAGTCATACATTTTTGATCTTGAATGAGATGTTTTTGTGTTTAGATGTAGCAGCATTATTTTAGCACATGAAAGAACCTCCTTTTGTTTATTGTAGGAATAGGAATACAGACTCCTGAAACCCGTGGTATTTGTAAATCCCTCTGCCTCAGGGTGTAGGCCAACCCCTAAAGTGAAAGGATGAGAAAACAACTTCAAAGTCTTAATAGAGTTGCTGAATTTCCTTCATGACCCTAGGGCACCTGCCAGTGGCCATTGCTAAGGGCTGAATGCTGACTTTCCTTCTTGCAGGTTAAGTTCCAGCACTGATACCCTCAGTTCAGGATGGCAGATAAAATAGATAAGGGAATTGATACCAGCTGTTGATTCTAATGTACAGATGCAATTGGTGGTGCAGGTTTTCCTTCCTTTAGACGTCTGGCTTTGTTCTGGAAGCATTTCCCTTCTAAATTCTACATTTATTTTAAAATAAATTTTAATAGACCTGTATAATATTTTCTCCCCGATCTTGTTGTAGCATTTGGAAATCAACTGGGCAGGCATGAGCAACCTTCTGGATGTCCCAGGGATTAAGTGAGTGTCTACTTTGCTTTACTGTATTATTTGAAAAATTTTTGGAAGTTGTGATGTAGTTCTTGAGTAACCAAAGCTGTTGTTGAGAGCATTGTGTGCAAGGTGTTGTGCTGATGTTCATCCTATTGTATCTGGCTGTGGCAAAACCTGAGGAGGGTTCTTTTTATATTCTCTCATAACTGTTTCAATCACTTAATTATATTTAAGATGGAAATAGTAAATCCCCCAAACAACAACGACTCATAAACTAAAAAACAAGCCCTTCTGTTTCCCATGTGCTAGTTATTTGCAAAGGTAGATGAAGTAGGTTTAGACTGGCAGACTGCTTTTTTTTCTTTACAGTAAAGTGTAAAAAGGCAAGGTATCAGAGAGTTGCAGTCCCTCTGAAAAACTCAAGTACAATCCATGATAAAGAGAACTGCACCAGATTTATAAGAAGAAAAGTTTCTTTCTGTGTAATCTGCTCACCCTTTAGCTGTAGCTCTTCTCCAGTGCCTCTTGGGTTAGTATGACATACATAAAACTTGTACAGCAAGGATGAAAATCTTAGTGGGTTTCAGTATTGTTTCAAACTGTTTCACCAGATTGGCGGTCCAGTTTGTCCTTGTTCTTTAGTGTAAGAAGAAAATTCTGTTGCACAAGAGGAAGATACATGGGGTTACACAGCCATTGCCATTGTCCCTTTCACTTCTGTTCCTCTCTGCTCCCCTGCAGCTCATGGTTTGCAGAATCATAGGAAGAGTCTGGCCACTTTAGATGCCAGTTCATGCATTAAAGATCTTCTGAAGGCTTTTGATGTTGAATGAGAGGAAGTTTCCTTTTTCTCTTAATTTGAGGCCTGAGTGGCCTTTTGCCCTGCAGTTTAGCCTGAGAGCTCCAGTTTTTATCAGAGGAATTAATCTGTTTTCTAACTTGGTTTCCCTAATCCTTGCAGGGAGAAGGCCTGTAGGTGTTCCAGCCTACAGCCTCTCATATAATTAAGTGCAAATTTGGTGTCCTAAATTTTTACTGCCTGGTTCTCCCACAGGGATTTGCACACAGAAACCTTTGCTTGTTCCTCAGCAGTGCAATGAAAGCTAGGAGCAAAACATGCCTGACCATGAATGGGCTGAAGTACAGGTTGAACAAGAGCCCTCCCTGACAAATGAATTTGTCTCACTTAAGATAGCAAAGAAACTGGATGCAGTCATCTGTCCTCACATACAAGCTGTGTTTAGTTGGGTGTACCCTGAGACTTGAGAGAGGGGACAATTCTGTGGCATTCCTGTGGGGTTTTTTTTACAGGAAAGCCAAGAGCCTGACCAAGGTTTCTGGTTTACCATGTGGAGTAGAAGACTTTCCTTATGTTTTTTATATGCCAATCCAGCCTCCTCTGTGAATTGGGACAATTTTACAGTTACACAGTCATACTCTTACAAGCATTAGATCTATCAAGAGGATGAATCTTTCAGATAATTGATGCTCTTGGGTTTTCCTCTTAATATTATTTTTTGCTCACACCAGGTTGTAGTGGTGGTTTGAAATCCTCTCATTAATCATCAGGAGAGTACTTGGACATCTGTGATAGCCATATACTTCTTGTACCTGCCTTACAAAAAGAGCAGCTGTAAAGCAAAGATTTGAACTGAAAAGCTAAAAATGTGCAAGTTGTAATTAGGCTGGAAAGTTCCTTGAACTCCAAAATAGTGTCCTCAATTCAGCCAATGTGATCTCCAGTTACTTCAAATGAAATTTTCCTTCTTAGTGCAAAATCTGCCAAGATTCAGAAGCTCATCTGAGAAATTAGCTTGGCTTTTTTTTTTTTTTAATGTTTCTGTCTGCTTCAGTTTTGTGAAAAGGTCTCAGCAGGTGTCCAAGAGTAGGCAGCAGTGTGTGCTGTGGACATTTCTAAGTCTAAAAACAAACTAGCTCGAGGCCTTGAGCCCCCTGTGAAATGCTGAAATTTCCTGATTCCCTTCTCCCCTTGTCCATCTCTGGTGTCATTCCTAAGGAAACCCAGAAGGCAATTGGGTTTGACATGTTTGGGTGTGTGCATGAAGATTTCACACAGCCTGAGCTCCCTTTCATCATTTACAATTGTGAGCCAAATTCACACCCTGCAACAGGGATGCTCCTATTGCAAACCTGCACCACTAAACTGAAGTTGAATGGCCATTCTGCAGCTCTTTCATACAATCATAAACTTCGGAAAAGATCTTTATAGATTACCAAGTCCAACCATTAACCTAATACTGCCAAGCCCATCACTGAACTATGTGCCTAAGCACTTTTACAGGTCTTTTAAATGCTTCCAGGGATGGTGACTCAACCATTTCCCTGGTTGTCCTGTTCTAATTCTTGACAATACTGTGGGGGGGAGCTAGGCCACACCACTCACTTTGCAATGCCCATTTCTTCTGCTTGCTTGCCTGTTCTGAGTTGTGACTGATGGTGGAGATTGAGGTTGCCTTTTTCCCCCACCTGCAGTGTAATGTCGGACTCACTAATTCAAGACTTCATTGCTGCACGGCTGGTGCTACCCAACAGAATCACAGTGCCTCTGAAAAAGAACATGAACATTGCCCACTTGAGGTTCCCTATCCCCCAGGTGAGTTGTTTTTTCAGTGACATAGTGTTTATCTACCTGAGTGTGCAGCTGCCACCACGTGGATGCATGCAAGCTTAGTGTCTTTGGATGCTGCAGCAGCTCTTTCAGCCTGAACTGTGGGCTTTCAGTAGGTACTATTTCAGAAATATAAAGCAGTGTTGCATAGTTCATCATTTGGGAGGGAGAGACACGAGTACTGGGACTTCCTACCCTTTCTACAAGTCATAAGGAGTCTGTTTGTACTCTGAGCTCATTTACCAATTCAATTTTTAGTGTGTAACTGCAGATTTGTGGTACATGCAAATGAGAGGATAAATACATAAGCAGCAAGTGTCATGCTATTTAATATTTTTACTAATGCTGTGAAGAGGTGTAAATAGGGAACTTGGAGGATGACATACCTTTGCTACAGAAAAAAATAATTCCTAAATACTCAACATATCCAGGTCTTCAATCTCCTAATACACTTACTAATGAGGATAAGTATAAATGAGTGACAAAAGCATGCTCCCTGTTGCAAACTTGCATCACTAAATTGAAGTGGAATGGCTCCTGTGCAATAAAATAAGAACCTGCTAGTGAGTGCTTAGTTCCTTCTTCAGTCAGTGGGAGTTGATCTTTACACTTTATTTGACTGTGGCTGTAATGCTGTGTCCATATGTATATTTCTGATTTAAAAATAAATAAGATTTCCTATTCAGTTATCTAGATTGAATTTTACATCTCTTTAAGGGGGCTTTCTTTTCCCCCTCTAAGCAAATGGTGGAAGAAGTGCTTTATTACAGCTGTCATTGGAAATGTACTGCATCGAACTACGTGTCTTTGCAGAACTGTCACGGTGACTACCCTTGCTGCCTGAAATAAACAGGTTTAGGAGGCAGCATATTATAATTATCCAAAGATTGCATTTTCATGACCAATTCTGTATCTTATTTTATCCAGGGAGTAATAAGGGTTCATTTGTTAGAAGCTGAAAACCTTGTCCAGAAAGACAATTTCCTTGGTGCCATCAGGGGGAAGTCTGATCCGTACGCTCTCCTCCGTGTGGGCACCATGCAGTATCGAAGCAAGACAGTCTCCAGAGATCTTAATCCCATTTGGAATGAGACATTTGAGGTACTGAACCTTTTGATCTTCCCATCTGTAGGGTACACAGCCATTCCATTTACATCCCTGTGCTTGCAGGACCTTGTCTTTAGCTGACTGCACTGGGGCAGGTGGACTTCCCTGTTTCTTGGTTGAGGCATTTGTGTCCCTTAACCAAGTTCAAATTTACATTGTAAACTTGAAATGTCATTCAGGTTGATCTGATTTACATGTGTGGGTTTTTGGAGGAGGTGCAAAGCACTGCTTTAAATACCAATCAATGCATCAGTCTGTGCAGCTGCAGGCTGCTCTAGCACTGATTCCTCTCTGCTTATTAGGGATACCAGTTTGAGGGGTTTAACTTGTGGCTCAAAAAGAAGCAAACACTGTGAAACATTTTCACCTCTAATCAATTGTATTTGTTATGCATTTAACCATAAGAAAGAACAGGGAATGTCCCTCATGTGTTAGACAGTTGTCAAGTGCCATGTTCTTGTCCACAGCCTGAGCCTGAATATACATATGTGAATGCTTTTTATTTTTAATCAATACCTCTTTCTCGTCCAGTTTGTTGTTCATGAAGTGCCTGGTCAGGATCTAGAAGTGGATTTGTATGATGAAGATCCAGATAAAGATGACTTTATGGGCAGGTAAATTAGCAAGACCTTTGATCAGGGTCCAGTAGCCTCTGCTGTGGGACATCTGAATTACTCATACTGGAAGTTTAATACTGTTGGAATTGATTCCCTTTGCCCAGATATTAATACCACATAATTAGTTCCTAGTGCAACTATTGTTGGACATGGTTACATCCTGCAGGGAGGGAATCCTGGGAAGCCATTAGAAGTCATAGTTACTTGAGATTTACTTCAAATTTATTTTAGTTTTGGAAATATTTCAAGGGGGAGAATTCAGGAATATAAATGAGTTCCTGCACACACCATACACAGGTAATGTGGAGAAGTTTTTATTTGGAAACTTCTTGAGAGTGGGGCTTGAGAGTGGTCTTTTTGGGTGGTGTGTGCTGTATGCCTCAATATTGAAATGTTTGCTTTTTCTCTTTCAGCTTGCTGATAAGCCTAGTGGATGTAATGAATGACAGAACCGTTGATGAGGTAAAGATCTCAGCTTATTTCTAAATGTGGCTGGTGGTGCATGCCTACATGCACTCATTTGTGCTTCTCGTCTGCTGCTTCAGTGTTTCTTTGTACTTAAAGCTTCCTTGCACACTTGCACTGTGGTATTTTCACAGAAAGATGATACCAAAGTAGCCAACACAACAATCTTTACAACAGGCTGGTAACCCCAGAGAGCCCTGAGGTTATGCTGAGCCAGCAGTGGGGTATCTTGTTGATACCTTGTGTCCCATGTGTACCAAATGTTTTGTACAAAGCCTCAGATAAAGTTTGGTGAAAAAGCCTGTTGGCCAAGGGAAGAAATTATCTGACCTTACTGTGGTTTACCCTGCAACCCAGCACTCTACAAACAATGCCAGGGTGCCTGTCTTGTGCTGCTGCTGGTTGGAAATATCCACATGCTTTACCTGTTCATGAGCATCTTATTTTAATTTTCTCCTGCCTTGTACCTAAGTAGGTGGACGTGTTACAGTCCAAGTGTCAAAAATGCAAGCTAAGGTACTTGGAGTAAAATTCATGTTGTCTATTGTGTGCAAGCCTCAGAGTGTGCACCACATATATAAAAACTGCTCTGTCAGTTCTCAAGTTGCTGTTTGTTATCTCCATGTAGTGGTTCCCCTTAAGTAAGACGACAAGCGGACACTTGCATTTAAAACTGGAGTGGCTTTCACTAGTAAACGACCAAGAAAAGCTGCATGAGGTGAGTGTATTTGCTTAAAGGATTCAGGTGCTCTGATCCCTGTCCAGTCATCAACAAAGGAGTGTGTAAAATTAGAAACCCCAGGCAAACTTGCAGGAGTTTATTTTTGTCTGGCAAAGTTTTGATGTGATTCCCTCCCTGCCACTCCTGCAGAGGAAGGGCATTGGCTTGCCCCAGGTCTCTTGGTAATTCAGGAGTAACTCAAATCTGGCAGCTCTTTTTGCTTGAATTAGCAAACCTTTGTTTGACTCACTGCAAAGTGGCTTCTCAGGCCACTTTTCTTGCACAATTTTTTTCCTCCCTCTTCATCTAGGATTTGTGTAGGACCCTGGACCCCTGAAATAATCTGTACTAGTCATAGGCAAATACCCAGTAGTGGTGCTTGGTAGGGCTCTCTTTCCAAATGGTGTGTAGTTTGTCCAGCAGAATTGCTTGGATGAAGCCCATCTCCCAATGAGGCTGTTTCTTCATAACCAAGCAAAACCATCTGAATTCCCCTAAGTGAATAAAATTGTTCCCAGGATTTGTTCTGCTGACACTGGAGTCATATTGATGTCTTGGATGAAGCCCATCTCCCAATGAGGCTGTTTCTTCATAACCAAGCAAAACCATTTGAATTCCACTGAAGTGAATAAAATTGTTCCCAGGCTTTGTTCTGCTGACACTGGATTCATATTGATGCCTGTGGTTGAACATGTTTTTAGGTGTCTTGCTGTACTGGGGAACCCAACCAATTCTGCACTGAGATTGACAAACATTAAAGGCAGGGAATTGAAAAGAGTTACACATCTTCTTACTGGTCTGCTTTGAACTATCATGCTGTGTGGACTTGGGCTCCTCTAAATTGCAAGTTTTAGGAGAAAGACAGAGAGCTGCTCAGCCTTCAGAAGCTGCCCTTGGAATTTTGCTATGTTTTGCATTGTCCTTGGTGGGTGACCATGACTACTTTGTGTTTTGATTTGTTTTATCTTTCCCTGCCTTTACAGGATAAGAAGGGTCTGTCTACAGCAATTCTGATTGTCTACTTAGACAGTGCCTTCAACCTCCCCGTAAGTACAAATCCTGTGCAGCAGCCTTCACTCCTAACCTCCTTTGTTAAAAACCAACAAATTAACTGTTTTAAATACTCTTTCACCAATTCAGAAAAACCACTTGGAGTATTCAAATGGTGAATGTGGAACAAAGAAGATGAAAAATAACAAGTACCTCAAGGTAAAATTTATATTCTTCTCCCACACTTGCTAAACAAAGTTCTGGATTATAGGAACTGAAACTGGCAGTGGTTAAAAAGAAGTAATCTCTCCACTGTCAGAATCTAAGTGAGCAGGGGTTCAAAATTGTGATTGAAAGTCACAGTGAAAGTCTAGGAGGCCAAAGTGGGAATGCAACATGGAAATGTTTATTTGTGTGTGTGGTTGTCTTTCTTTCTTACGCAAAAGAGAGCCTCCAGACATCAGACTAAGTCATAATATCCTTGCTGCTGCTGCTCTTTCTTCCCTTGCTGAGCTGTTCCAGCTTGACATTGAGCAGGGAGGAATATGCTCATTTGTGCTAATTTTCCTGTCCACTGGAGAGCTGACCACCAGATTTCTCCCCACTTGGCGCTCATTCATACCTTCTCTCTCATAGCTTCTGTTTACTTTTTCCCCCAAATACTGCATTTTGCTACTGTGATGTAAATGGCAGGTACAGGGAAGAATGTCTCCCTTTATTCTTGAACTGGCTACTCAAAAGTACAGCTCTGAGCTATGGAGAAAGCTTCCCATTCTCTCCAAGTAGCTCCTCTCCTAGATAGCATCTTTACAATTTGGATGACTTACCAGCACTGTGATACACATCACAGTCAGTAATCCTTAATTCTGGACCTCACTGTGTGCACTTTTTATGTAGTTTGGTGCCAAGACCAGATTCTCAGCCTTAACTTCTATAGCATTAGTGCAAAGAGGTGCAAGAGGTTCAGTATTGTTGCTTCCAGAAGGAATTGTTATTTGATGCCAAGGACTCACCTCCAGCTGCTTTGGAGCAAGTCCTGAGCCTTGGAAACCAATTCTGAGAGTCCTGGTTCAGTCAAGAAAGATCAAGATTTCCCACTGAGCCTTCAGCTCTCCTCTCTGTTTCCTCCCAGCTTCTGACAAATTTTTAACTGCTCACCTGTTGAAACCTATATACATAAAGCTTTGGCTTAAGTGTGTATTCTTGATGGTGGAGAGTAGGACTGCTGTGTTATTGCTGGAGGCTTTCCTGTGTGTTACATCCAGAAAATACTGTCAGCTTTCCAGCAACTTACTTCAAGTAAGAGTAGTGGTTTGATAGTGCTTTCTGAAAACTATGAATTTCTTAATGTTTTTTCCTGCCTTCTTCTTTCTTCCTTGTACTAAATGACAGAAGATGGAACGAGAACCTTCCTCCTTTGTCCTGCTCACAGTTGGGAACAAGACTCAGAAGAGTAAGGTGAGGCTGTTTTATTCTTCTGCTTTCATTAGATGTTTTCCATCCTATGGGTGACTGCCCCTAAGTAGCCCCTAGGAAGGAAAGGACTTCTTGTGAAGCTGATGTGAAGAGCTGTACCTGTAGTGATAGCTGCAGAGCCTCAGACTGGAACCACTGTGTCACCGAGTTGTGGTGGTGGAGGGTGTCTGCTGAACACATGTAGTTCCATGCCTGTGTTCAAGAGTTCATGTTGGCTCAGACACTCTATTTCTATAAATCTCCAATCCAGCTCATGGTTTCTTAGAGCAGGGTGTCATTTGCATCAAGCTGGCTTTTATTCCTTCCTCAGAGTCTTTCCTGGCTCCTGTCTATCACAGTTTTACTGTTTTGTTTTGTGTTTTGGTTTTAAACCCAGACAAGATGGATCTGCTTCTCCTCCACTTCACTTCCAGTTCCTTTCTCATTATTTAAGAATTGCTTTTGCCTCATGAGTGTGAGCCACAGTTGAGCTCTGCCCTCCCAGTAGCTGCCATGTTCACTGTCCTGCAGCTGGATGTGGATGAGCCCTTTGTTCTTTTGGACTCCCACAATAAGAATGAATCCTGTTGCTTACGAGCATACAGGACTGGCACCTATTTTCCTTTGTTCCCTCCACCCAGAAATTGGGTTCTACTTGCATTTTTACCTTTTGTGGCTTTCCCTTTCCCTACCACATTACTTACCTCTCATAAGCTAGGTCAGGCTTCCAGGCTTTCCCTGCTCCTTCCCACTTGCTGCCAGCACTCCTGGCCTGGCAGGGACAGCTGGTTCACAGAGCAGCCACAGCCCCCATGGGTGCTTTCCATGCTCTTTGAAATGGATGGTGCTGAGGCTGTGCCCTCCTACTCTTCCCACAAGTTCTACAGCCCTGAAACTGCCTCTCCAGCTTTCCTGCCCTTGTCTGCCAGCTCACTGGAGCTTTGGGAGCTGGCTCAGATGCTGCAGGCTGGAAGCAGTGCTCTGGCTCTCCCTGGGTGGGAAGGTGGGAGGGAGGGAGCGGTGCCTCGCTGCAGGTGAGGCAGGCTGCTGGTGGGGCCAACTGCAGCTCACCAGACTTGTTCTTTGGCATTTCCACACCCCAAAGAACTTGTTCTGGTTTTGCCAGAGACTTCACTTCCATGTGCTTCTGACCTGGAGTTTCCACTCCCTCTATACAGCTGGGGTGTAGCATCACTGAAGGTCACCATGGCCCTCTCTGCTGATCAATGTAATGGATTCTTTGCTTCTCAGAGACTAAGCTAATGCATGTTCTTGTTGCAGACCTGCAATTTCAGCAAAGATCCCAAGTGGGGCCAGGCTTTCACCTTCTTTGTCCACAGTGCTCATTCCCAGTCACTCCACATTGAGGTGAGAGAAAAGCCTTTCCTTTGAAGACCAACTGCACATCTGTAGGAAGAAACCTCTTCTGTGGAGCTCAGTGCTGGTTGTTTCTGTGTGGGATTGTCACATACTGGGTTCCTCCTACTGAAAGGTGGAAGAAGCATATGTTGCACAGACAATTCTGTATTAGGTAGTTGTGGTATCTCCCTTTTTTGGTATCTACCTTTGTTCTAGCATCATGTAATGTGCAGTATCTTAGTTCAAAATGTGGGATATATAAAGTGGAAAGGACATTTCATACAGGTCTGTGTGTAGTAAAGACATCAATATTTTGCTGTCAGAAATTACAGCCTTCATGATTCTCAACCAGAGCCCTACCTCTTCACCTCTGTGTTCTGGCTTGTTAAGCAACCCTGTCTCTGAATAGCAGCACTGCAGCCACAGCCAGTTCTGTGGCTGGTCACTTGGATACAGAAAGGAATTGAACTTGGAAGGTGTATTGAGGTTAAATAGGCTAAACATATTTACCTAAAATATATGTAAAGACTTAGAACAGTTGCCATCTCAGTTGCTTAGGACATTGTCCCCAAAGTGGGCAAAAAAATCAAGTAAATCTCAGGGCATGATTTTTCTGCTAAAGCAGTTCTTTCTCTGTATAGATAAAGATGGGATTTTTACTCCAAATGCACTAACTTGTTACACTCCTGAAATAATGGCATCACCCATTTGGATGTTACCATACTGAAACAAATAAGCTAATTTTAGCTTCTGCCTGAAATACCTTCTTGCTTTGCTTTTGCATTCCCAGTGGTACACTTCCCAGTTTGCAAGCTTTGTTTTCTTCCATCCCCCAGATAAAAGACAAGGAGCGGGATAGTGCCCTGGGAACTTCTGTGGTGTGTCTCTCCCACTTACTTAAGGACCCAAACATGACTCTGGATCAGAGATTCCAGCTGGACCATTCCAGTTCAGACAGCTTCATTAAGATGAAACTTGTACTGCGGGTGAGTTGTTCTTTCCCACATTCACTCAGTTTCCTCTGCAGAAACATCCATTTGTAACCAGGCAAAAGAGATGGAAGGTGGGCATGAAGAAAGGCAGCTTTGCTTCACAGTTGAGTAGAAAGTAGAAGTGTGACAAGGTATTTAAGTGAAATTAGGAGTGTATGGTGGAGTTGAGAGGTATCCCTGAGGCTTCATAAAACTAAGTGCAATGCCATGGCTGAAAATTTTCTCACAACAATAAAGAGCTGGACAGAAAATCTAAGCTGGGGAAATCAGCACTGCTTGATGCTTAGGAGTTGTTTCCTCACTGTGCTCTGGATCAGTGTTTATACACTGCTCAGTACAAACACAGTAGGATAAGAGGAAAGAACACCACAGTGAATCCCAGGGCCCCCTTTCATCTCTAATGGCAGAGTCCTGCTGTTACAGTTTTGTGGTGAAATTTCCTTCTGGGTGGTAATGCTGGCATTCACCCCAGTGCTGTGGGAGCAGCACTCACTGTCTTCCCTTGTGATTTTTAGGCACTGAATGTTGAAGAACCTGATCCACAAAGAGTCAAGGCTGGTGTCAATGCCTCGAAGCTAGGTCCTGTGCGTGTCACGGAGAAGGCTGGAAACCAGCAGAAGTTTTCCTCTCCACAAGTCTCAAAAGTACCTCCCATGAGCAAAGACTCTGCAGCACTTGAATCTCTGCCAAAAAAGGACAGTGGAGAAGACCTGGTTGCTAAAGACAGTTCAGGAGCCCCTGTACCTTGTGAAATTGTGTCTGACCTTGATGAAGCAGAGGGCAAGCAAAATCCAGAGCATGGCCCACCATCAGCATTGCCCAGCGGGGCAGTGGCCATGCCCACACTGCCTGTCCTGCAGGAAATGAGGGTGGCACCCAGTGTCACTTCACTGGGGTCCCTGCCTTCTTCCTGCTTTGAATTAAGTAGCAGCAATCTGGATATTCATAAGTAGGTGTTCTTCCAGCTGAATTGTTCTTCTCTTGGGAAAGTTTAGGTGTTACTGTTGCATAGGGGTGAATTCAAGGCTGCTAAATCACTTTGGGTGTTGGGTCTCAAGTCACCTTACAAAGAATTGACCTAGGTATTCCAGTCAACAGCAAAGTAAATTACAGGGCACTGTCAGAACAGATATAAAGGGAAAGTATTCACTCAGTGGCTCTCCTAAGAGTGCTGCATGTGTTGGTTTTATATTGTTGAAGAGCTTCTCAACACTCATTTAGCAACAGGATTTCAAAGTCTGAACATCCCATTTCTGTAATAAACTAAACTCTTGATGGGCACCTCTGGCTGCTTAAAGCCCTGAATGTGTTTAAAAGCCTTGACTGTGCAATGTCTTGCAGTGGGACTGAGATGCCTCTGGGGGAGATCCAGCTGACCGTGCGCTACGCTTCCATCCGGCAGAGCCTCGTCGTGCTGGTCAACGGCTGCAGGTAATGCTTGAGATGGCTCACAGAGGGAAGAGCTCTCTGAGCTCTGTCAGCCATCCAGCAAAGCTGGAGCAGAGCCACGTGCAGCAGGAGATGCCTTAGCACTGGCTGGCTTCCAGCTGTGCAGCCTCTCTGTGCCCAGCTCTGGTCAGTGCCAGCAGCAGGTCAGGGAGAGAACCCAGCGAGTTGTGCTCACTGCAGTAGAGGTGCTGCCACTGTCATCTACCCAAAATTTCCTCTGGACAGCACTGACAACTGGTGTGTGTCTTGGGGTGTTGGGATGTGACAAGGATTGATATCTATGACTGAATGTGTAATAGTTAATTTAGGAGCCCCAATAAGTGGCCACATCCTCAGGAGTAAAGATTTTAACTAAACAATCTTAAAGTTTTATTTGCTTGTGTTCCAACTCCTGGAATGAATGTTTTTGGCATGTGAAGGGTTGGTCTGATGCCAAGAGAGCCAAGGTATTAAAACACACAGTGAGAGAACCTGCCTTGCTTGTCTTTTTCTTTCAACAGAAACTTGGTACCCACTTCCAATCGTGGAGTTGATCCATATGTTCGTATATACCTGCTTCCAGACAGAAGATGGACAAGCAGGAAGAAGACTTCTGTTAAGAAAAAAACTCTGAACCCCCAATATGATGAAAAGTAAGAAAATGTAAATTATTGTTATTATGGTTGGAATAGTTATGATCTTTGCCTGTGGTGTTGCAAGTCCCCTGGAAGAAGGGCACACCTTCTTCCCTGCCCCTTTCCTGCCCCTTCCCTGCCCCCAGGCTGCATTTGCTTCTTTGCAAACTGACATTCTCCTGCTGTGTTTAACTCCCTGTCATGGCAGAGGCAATCTGCCCATTCAGGTACCTCTCAGAGCCTACTGCTCTGTTCACACTGCTTTGCCTGATGCTTATTCTGACATCTTTCCAAAGGTCCAAGGCAGAAGAGCAGAGCCTTTTGTGCCCCCTTTGGGCACACAGGGGGATGTTGTCATCAAGGCCTGGTGGGAGCAGGGTAAAATGCTCCCACCTCTTTGGTGACAGTGTCACAGCTCTGCCACTGAAATGGAATGTATTTTGCATAACCCAATCACAGTAACTCTTAGAAGTAGAGATCTTTTAAGAGGTGGTTTTAATCCCATAATTAGAGGAAGGTATAGATTAAATATGTGAATTGGATGATCCTGGGTGGCTTATATTTTCCCTGTGTTATGTCCTTTCTGTGTAAGTCAGAAATGGAGAAAATATTTTTAAATATTTCTTCTTAACACTCAAAAACCAAAGCTGAGGATTCTGCTTATGCCTCTTCTTAAGTAACTGCACTGATTTAGTGCCATCCCAGCAGCTGGGAAGCGCATCTCCTTTTCCCCATCCTCAGTACTGACATATCCTGTACATCCTCAATTAAAGATAATGCTTAGCTCCAAAACACATTACCTGTTTCTCAGCTCTGACTTGAGTAAAAGCTATTCAGGTGGGCAGAATAGGAGTGATTTAGCATGGACAAAACTCACTTGACATTAGCCATGTGTGCCAGAGGCTTGAGTCAGAGCCATTAAGAATTTAATTGCCACAGGTTTCAGCCTTTGTCTGTTCTTGGTGTGGTGCAAGGCTGCTCTGTGAACTTGGGGGGTTGGCTCATGACTATTTCCTCTTGAGTAATGAACATTGCATGGAAAACATGCTGATCTTCCATGGAGGGGGGAAAATTATGTTAAATGGCATTTCATCATGGATGCAAGTTTTCCTCCTTCCCGCTGGCATGGTGGACAGTCTGAACACAGTGTTGTCATCTTTCATGAGGCCTGGAAGAGGTTTTCTGCAATGTGGATAAAACCTCACTCTAGAACTGCCTTTTCTGTGTGTTCCTTCCCTGTTAAAGTCCTGGCCATTGATGCTGTACTCTGTCACTATATTCTGCCCAATGGTGCTCACAGGATTTTAGTTTTTGCCTTAAGTCTCTTCTTTTTAAACTTTATTTCAAGGTTTGAATTTTTTGAATCTTTGGAAAATGTCAAGAAAAGGACACTGGACATTGCAGTGAAAAACAGCAGGCCGTTCATTTCACAGGAGAGGAAGGAGCTGGGGAAAGTAAGTTTAAAGAATCTCCACTACAGATATAACAGAGCTGAACACTGCGGGCTATTCCCAAAATCCAGTCGCTTCAGTAACTAATTCTCAATAACAGGACTGGCAATCTGGAAACAATCTTTTTCTGCCAAATTTTAATCTCAAATGAGGCTGTATCCATGTGGGAGCTGCGTGGTCTCATTTTAGAAGGGTGCTCCTGAAGTAAGCCTTGGTTCCTGAGCCCTGGTAATGCCTTTGTGGGGAGCAGCTCCAAGAGCACAAACACGGAGCTGAGAAAGGCATTGGGACTAAACCTCACAATTTGCCAACACTGCTTTGACTTTCTGTGAACAGCTTTGATTCTGTGAAAAGTAAACTGCAATTGCTTCTTCAGTGACAGATAAATTTCCAAGTAGTGCTATAGGAAATAGAGCTGGTTCACGCCTACACTATCCTGGGAATGTGGGAAGCTCCATTTTTCCTCAAGCCTGAGCTGCAGCTCCACAGCTGGAAAGTGGGTCTGATTTGGGTGGAGTGGTAACTTAGCTAATCAGTTTATATGCTGAATAACCTACAAACAAATAAAATTTGCTTTTTAAAGGTGCGCATTGACTTGTCCCGGGAGGATTTAATAAAAGGTTTTGCCCAATGGTAAGTTCTCATCTCCATGCTTCCAAACCCTGCCCACTGCTTTGCTGGGAGCTTGCATGACTGCTGTGGGAGTGAGTGCTGGTAACTGGGCTGTGTTTGGGTGTGCAAGAAGAATATTTGACCTGCAAATGCAGGACTAATTTGAGCTAATCTGGTAGTTCTATCTAAATTGTGTGTTAATCCACTGGCTGTGCAGTGCCTGCCCTGTAAGACAGCTTTAATGAGATGCCTGTGTCAATTACAGTCCTCAGCATATTTAAAGTTGCCATAAAAGCCACAGGGGCACATAAGTAAAAGAATTTTGTTTATTAAAGTAAACCTTGCAACAAATTTTAACTTGAATAAAGATCTTAACTAAACACTCTGATCAGCAATATATATGTATGATAAAACTTTAATTACAAAGCATTTATAGAAACTATTATAATAAGCCACTTATAGTTTTGCTTATACGTTCATTGTGGTTCTGAGGTTTGTGTGTTCCTGGTCTGAGGCAGAACAGAGAACCAGGCTTGGGTGTTTTTTTCACTTCTGTGTCTTTAGTAAATGGCAGGAGTTCTTCCTTCTTTCTCCTTCAGTGGAGCCTGAGGAATGCAGTGTGGGTAGTCCAGGAGCTTGCCATCTGCACAGGCAGTGAGCCAATATTCCAATAGGAAAACCACATTTCCTTGGCCAGCTTGTGTGTGTGTCTCAGGGCAATTATGGGAAGAGGAAAAAAGGATGCACCCAAAGTTTCTGGTGAAGAGCTGAAGTTTGAGGCCATCTCTGGAGCCTCCTTTGCTGTGCTGCCTGTGAAGCAGGAGCAAGAAGGCAGCCCAGGTTTTCTCTATTGTGCCAGTTAAAAATGTTAAGAATTACTATACAGCTATGGTAATTATGGTGTCTGTCTTGCAGGTATGAGCTGACAAGGAGCAGACGCAAGAAAATCTGATTTCTTCTCATGTATATAAGTTACTAATTTTTCAACTTCATATGGATGTACATACCTCTTGTAATTAACATGTTTTGCACTGTCATTGCAAATCTGAAGCAGGCTCCAGCTCAGGACATGCAAATTTAATGATCCTATTCAGGGATTAGTTCTCACTGAAGTTAAACATATTTTCCCCCACACAGGGAATAATTTGTCCTTAAAGAATAAGTCCTTTATTTTTGCTATTTCTAGCAACCTCCCCCCCCTGAAAGGACGTCTAAGTGTGAAACCTCTCTTAAAGAAGGGTTGTACCTGGGGAGATTTTAGACTGTCAGCCAAGTGTCATTACTCTGCTTGGCAGCCTGATGGCTCTAGGAACTTGTTTATGTGTTTTAACATGGCAGTGGTGTACTTTGAAAAGAATACATTTTGAAACAGTATTCTTCAGCCATATGGCTACAGAATCTTTTAAAAGAGAAACTCTTTAACAGCTTTTTTTTTTTGAGAAACTGGAAGGTGGTAGTCCACTGTTCAGAAGTACCTTAGCTGACTGTGGCTGCAGGTATGTAAATAATGAGCTTCCAAAAGCAGGGAGATGACCTTACCAAGATGTCATTAAGGTTTTAGTTTGTGACGCCTTAACTGGTTTTGTCCTTTGTTACAGTACATTTCAAAATCTTGTAAACCCAGATTCTATCTGAGGAACAGCAAACTTTTGTAAACTAAGCTTTAATAATATTGAGGCAAAATATTTTTGGAAGCTTGGTGTACTTGTTTCTGTACAATAAACTTCTAATTGTCTTGCACAAGAGACTTGATCTAATCCTTTCTAAAACTGACTTTTGAAATACAACGATGGTAACTCCAAACCATTGCCTGAAGCAAATTTCAAGTATTTTTGGCCTAGATTACATTAATCCAGTCTGCCTCAGTCCATAATCAGAGAGAATACTCTCTGAGTAACAATGTGTTCCCATCTCAAACTGATCTGGAAATGTGAACAACATTTTAAAAGAGGCTCTCCAGAAAACCAAGACTGAGCATTTGTGTAAGTGTGATGGCTATGGAAGTAAGGGCATCTTTACTTCATACTTACTGTGTCAGCAATATTAAAAATGGCTAGAATTTGGCTGGTGTTGTGCTGGGTTCAGTTTCCTGGACTGATACAGAGTATATTTGGCCTCTCTCTGGGATTAAGTAGTCCAGCTGACAGTAGTTAAAGTTTTTCTTAAACTGACCAAGAATTAAAATTTAAAAAATTAAAAATGCAGCAACTTTTATTTATGTAAAAAAATCTGGAATTATTGCTTAGGAGGTAGCTGCATGTGCACCAAGAGGTACATTCACAGGTAAGAGAAATCTTGCTCAGGAAGAGGAGAGTCACCCATAACCAGCTTCCCATTTCAGGTTTTGTACTGCAGGTAAAATATCATCCACGTTACTGATCTCTGCAACAGAATGGAAAGGAAAAGGGTTAGACTTATGAACCCACAATACCTTTCAGTTCAAACAAAATTCTAACTGAAACAGATGGTGAATTAAATAAACTCCTCAGACCTTTTAATGCTTTCAGAAAAAAAATCAATTTGGCTTATAAGTAATATGCTTAAGTAAATGTAACCCCATGTTAAATGAAAATGAAGTGGTTTGGTCACTTCCTGTGGAAAGGTGGAAAGAAGGAGAGTGAGGCAAAAGGCAGCACCTTCCCTCACATCCTCCTCCTGTTTTAGCACATCAGGAGTAAAGAAAACACTTGTTAACTGTTTAGAGTTGTATGAGGAAGTGTTGGCATGAAACTAATTACTGTTGCAAATATTACTCACCTAGAAGACACAGCAAATCTTGAATGAGAGCTTGAAAGGGTGGAAAGAAGCACTCATGTTCTTCAAGCTTAGTGATGATACTGGAATGGAAAGTGAGACAATCAGGTAAGAGGTGCAAGGACAGAGCAAGGTCATCCCCTTGGCTGTTTTTTCATTCTGTGCCATGACTTTGTGAAAATATTGCTACTTAGTATATAAAACTATGGACACCACTGTTCTGTTTTCCAGTTCTGAACCCTGCAGCCAACAAGGGAGCTGTCACAAGGATTTCTGATTTCACTACTAATACTGTATACACATCCTTCCTTTCCTCCTCACAAGGCTCCAGGTAGTCTGGGGCCTGGAACATTTGTCTGTGTATGCTGAATATACTGCTTGGGGGTGGCTGGTATAACTGCCCTGGAGGTAGAGCAAGAAATGCTTTATAAGCAGCTGTTCTCCAGTTAAAACTGAGAAATGAGTGCAGAAAGGCTGAGGAAGTGAGTATTGTTAACTCGGCATGTCAGACTTGCTGCCTGCTCCCTTCTTTGTTTGTCTGTAAAGCACATGCTGAATGCAAGCCCTTAGGGTCTGCTACCACCTAGCTGTGGCTGTTACCTGTTGAATGCATAACTGGATTTGTCCAGTTTCTAAAGTATTTGTAGGCAGCTTGAGGCAAACCCTGCCTTGGCAACTAGAACACTTCAATATTACATCTGAGACTTGCATCACTTTCTCCTCCCCACCCAGGTGCTGGATTTGTCTCCTGATGAAACATGTATCCCATTAAGGCTTGTTTGATCACATTATCCATGCAAACCAGAGGCTGTTTTGGAACCTTCTGGCCTCCATTTTTCCCTGTGTCAGCTTTATCTTTTTGACAGGATACAAGATTTGTTTCAAGCAGGACAGCAGTAACTAAAACCTGTGCTGTCGCAGCTCACAGACTTTGTAACAAATGATGAAAGTTTCTTTCAGCATCAGTTTTTGCCAGTTCTCAATTACCACATGTGATGTTTGCAGAATGGTCAGCAGTGGAACAGCCCCACATACCTGTGGATGTCTTGGGTGCCCAGAAGCTGCTGTACCTGCTCAGTCACGTTCTTATTAATGATGTCACACAGTTTCCCAACAGTATCCACTACCACAGTGGGTGGAGCTGAACTGTCTGTGGAAAAACAAACACCTCATGATTCTTTTAACAGTAATAACAAGGAAGTATTTTAGACACAGCTGAATTCTTGCAGGTGCACAGATTTTATTTGGTTTTCATAGATCTAGGCATATACATTCCATCATTCACAGAAAACAGAAATAAACAAATGTTAGCTAGGAATGGGGATTCTCTTACGAATACTTTAGTGGCTAAAAAAACCTTGGCAGAGCTGTGTGTTCACAGCAGAGGGTACTAAAGTGCACCTTTACAATGTCAGTGGAGATCAGCCAACTGAAATTATATATATAGAGAAGGGGTTATTCATTAGGTTCTTGTGACACAGCAGACACACTGTAGGGGCTCAGCCAATAAGGAACCTGCATAACAAACATGGAAACATTTGGAGGAGGATGCTGTTTGTTAACACCCAGAACCTGTTTTGGTGTTGAATTTTAACCTATCTGTAGTGCTGTGACTGAAGGTAGCAGCCTCCTTGTCCTTTTCTCCTTCAATTTCAGAAGAACTAGGCTGGGATAAGGCATCTTCTGAGCTGCAGTTATTAGGGGGAGGTGAGGTTTCCTCATCTCCCATGCTGGCTGCAGGCAGGAACACTGCTTCCCTCCTTGAACGAGGCTCAGCAGCCCCGGGGCTCTGGGGATGGACATCCTACAGCCCAGCCCAACCTTTTAACCCAGCAGCAGCTGCTGTTTTACAAAAGTTCCCACCAGAAGGGAAATAACCAACTACACCTCTGAGTACTGACAGTTTTTGACATTCAACAGCTTGTTTTGGTTTTTAAGTTTAGCAGCATAAGATGGACCTTGATGAGGACTGGACCCAATTACACTTGAATGAATTACTGAGCAGAAATCTACATCCAAGGCAGAATTATTTTCTTCCTTAAACTTTTTATCTTTCAAGTGGAGAATGAACAACAATTATGAAGTCAGCTCACTAAAATAAAAAGCTTTGTGCTTTGTTATTCTCTTCTTCTGCCTCCCTGTTATTCCTCAGCAACTACTAAAGGTTTACAAGTAATGGGGATTTGCTATTTGAACTATAAATTGACAGGAACGTATTTTTGTCTTCCCAGTGAAGGAAACACCTAGTTAATTCATTTCTCAACAGCTCAACATTATTTTCTATGAAGAGGGCAGCTTTTCACCTGTCTCCTTTTTTTTGGAATGGTGTGAGCAAGCAGCAGATGGTAGGTCTTTACCTAGTTCCAGGAGCTCATGCAGGTTCCTCATGGCGTTGGTCATTTCCCCCAGCTTTACGTACACCTCGTTCATCCGTGGATAAACACCATTCAGAGAATTCACATCAAACAACTTCTGGAAGTGAGACACTATGGCAGACAGGGTTTGCAAGGACTGTGTCTGGCTGTTCTGGAGCAAGCAGGAAGAACTGGTACCATCAATGGTACTGCTTAACAAGGCAAGGGTGCTTTAAGCTGTGAAACATTCTTAAAACCAGTCTGAAGAACAGGTGTAACTTCCCTTAGGAAATCTCAATGTTTCAAGTATTTTGGAATCTGAAGACATAGTTTCAATAGTTTTCAGGCACAAGCATACACCAAACTCAAAATACTCTTTCAAAAGCTTCCTTCTCTGTTGCTGAGAGAAGCATTTATGTATTCTCAGCCCTGAGAGACAGAACAGGATAGTTCCTGAGACTACAGGGCAATGCAAATTCACTGCTGGTCAAGTGCCTTTGATTAAAGCAATCTTCCCCAAGGTGAATTTATCCATTATGTTAAAACAGTCTTTTGACTATTGAATGTCTTCTCAAACAGGTATTTCCTAAATGCTGCAAGGCTTTCAAATGCACCAATCTAATCACTGTGTGAAGAATGCATTTAACAATTCCACAGTAACTTGTGATATAAATCTCTGGTAAGAATTACCTTTTCCTTATGTTCTAGTTCTTCCAAAATTGCATCTAGTAGCAACTGGAGGTCTTCAACTCGTATGGATTCTCTGTTATCCTGTGGATCTTTAGTGTTCCAAGGCAGCAATTCCAGAGACAGTTTTCTCAAGGACCTATGCAAATCCTTTTAAAAGCAGGGAGGGAAGCCAACTTATTTTAGAAACTGCTTAAAGTTGTTTTTATTATAGAAACAGGTGTTTTTCTGTTTCTCATATGCAGAAAACATTTCAGCACTGGAGAGGTTAAGGTTTAAATTTTCATGAATTTAAGAAGAGTGTCTTGCTGACATTCTTTGATTTGAAAAGAACAGAGTGAAAAATATTATATTGGCAAAGTATTACAGTTTCAGTGAAATAGGAAGTATTGGTCACAAAGAGTTTGGCTTTAAACAAAACTATTTCACCTGTATTTGGACCAAAAAGTCACTGGTGAGACAAAAGGAAGGAAGAGAATGCACCATCATTAATGCATGAAGTCCAGACTCAAAAGCTTAAGTTTCTTCTCAGGGGTTTGGTTAATAAAATGAAATAAAATACACAGAGAAGTATCTCTGGTACATACTTCACGTGGACAACAGACTATTTGTGAAATTTAACACTAGGTCAGGCAACAACAAAAGCTACACACAAAAACCCCCACAACCACACACAGGGAGGGATGGAGGAGAGGAGAGCAGATGAAAGGAAGGCCAAGAAACAGTACAACAACGTGTTGTTACCTTTAGGGCTATGAGCTGATCTGCCCACATTTCTATAGTGAGTGGAAGGTGCTCAAATCCACATCCCTGTCCATTCTCTTTCAGGTTATTTTGCACTGACCCTTTGCTGGGCCGGAATATTAATGGAGGAGCTCTTGGGCTTTGCAAAATAGAATCAATATGGGATAAAACCTTCAAGAACAAATAACAAATGTTATTGCTCAAATATGTATGATGTTTTGTAATAAAATCCCTCTCTATCACAGTCATGATTGCCTAAAATTAAGTCTAGTGTCTGCTGCCTTGCTGTGTTTTCAGGTAGTTTACACTGAGACAGAACAAGAACCAGCCCACACTGACTGCCAAATCCAGAACATGTGCAAGAGGAATCTTAGCCTCAGAGCAGCTTGCTCCAGTTGACACAGCTTAACAGAACATGTCTAATATTTCATTGTATCACTGCTAGAAACATGCAGAACAGATACAATTTGGGTACCTGCAAGTATTGCTGGCAAGCTCCCTGAAGCTCATCCACTCTTGCAACACTCCCAGAGTCTTTCTTTTCTTTTTTTTCTCCAGTCCTACTCCCTGAAAATCTGCACAAAATACATACAGTGGGTCACACAAGCAGCCTTAGCAGGAGATGATACCTTTAAACTTTGTGGAAGAACCAGGTGTGTAGCACTTAAACTCAAACATACAAATATCCATGTTATGATGCTGGGCAATAGAATTCCATCAGACCCAAGTAACACAGATTGACAACACAATACCTAATGCAAATATCATTAATTTATCTCAAGGCTGAGTCTATGCCAGACTGCTGATTTAGAAGGGACACCACCAGTTTTTCTGTTGCCAGAATTCTACTATGGCTGAAGGCCTAAAATCCAGAATTTTACTCTAAAGGTTCAAATTCCAAGCTCAGCTATTACCCACTTCTGCTGGAACACCTTTTCTGGCTTATTATACAAAGCTAACTACTGCTTTTCATCTAAATGCTACCTAGTGCACGAGGGAATAGACAAATTAAATACATACAACATGTTTATTTATTTTCAAATTTAAGTGATGTCTTTTTCAGGCTATAAAATATTCAGCATTCAGTATATACATGGACAAATGACTAGTGCAATTACAGATAAAAGCACTTTGTTAGTACTAGAACATTTATATCTTCCATGTATTTTCTTAGCAATATTTTAGAAAAACCAGTCAATTTCTAAGAATAATATGGACATAACTTCAGTAGCTGCAACATTTTGCCAACTCACACTTTCACATCCATAATCCATAATGAAACCAATAGCTTCCTTTACAGCTTATGGAAACAGCAAACACCAGAGATGGCTCTGTACATATTGCCAGCAAAAGAACTCAAATCAAATCCAGTAAGAGAGAATGAAATAAAAAACTCCACAATGCTGTGCCCCCATTTGGAGACCCTGCCATCACTTCAGAAATAGAGGGCTTTAGAGACCCAGAAGCACTGGCTGCCCATAACCAGGCTGCAAAGAATGCTGATAAGGCACATTCTCTGTAAGCTACTTTCTACATGACAGGTTGAAGAGTAACCTTGCATTCAGAAGTCCAGAGGAGTCATGGAAGTCCCTGAAAGAATATACTTACTGGTCAGTTTTCTTTAAAGCTTTCTGTAGTTTCTTCACTTGATGCTTGTAAAATTTTAATTCCTGTGCAGTTGGCTTGCTAGACAGAAAAAGTACCGTGTTATATGTCTTGCATTGGAAGGTATCTATAAAATTCACCCAAGCAAAAAAGTAAAAAAGTTTTGCCAGTGCCAAAAAATCATTCTGGAAATTCAATTCTGCTACATTTCTACATGACAACAGCAATAAAGAGCAAAATAACCATTAGCAGCTGTTATTAACAATGTAGGGAAAAAAGTGTGGCTGTTGCTGCCATATATCATTTCTCTTATCACAGATTTCACACTTCACTTTTACAATTGCTGGTGCTTTGTAAAGCAAAGTCTACTGAAATGGCCTTACAAAGGATGATATCCTTTCTCACCTTATTTCCAAGTTTTTCTTGAGATTTATATTTTCAAGCACAAGCTGTTCATTCTTGGCTTTTGTTTCAGTAAGTTGCTTCTGGAAAGACTGCAACACAGACTGGGTTATTGCTTTTACTGCCCTCATTTCATAATGAACAAGCTTCAACAATTTAAAGTATGTGCATGTTAAGAAGGGTTCCTGGACAGAACAGCAAAGCAGCATGGATGAGGACTCAGATAATGCACCAAGAGCCTGGTGCATGAGAGCCCAGGTGGAGCCCTGTGACTGCAGGAGGTCTGTGCAACCCTCAGCACACTCACAACATTTTGCTGAATCTTTGCACAAGGACAGGGAACTCTGCCCACAGAGGTTACAAGTCCAGAAGACATCACAAGAACAAGGGACAGAAAGCAAACATGTTGATGTTTCTATGTGGCTCTTGAAGGGTTACCATTGAGAGATCTGCACTGACTTATTCTTGGCAGTTCCATACCATGAGCAGTGCTTTGTAATTAGGAGTAGCATCTAGATTTAAGAACTCGTCCTTGTTTTTTTCTTCTCTCTGCACCTCGTCTTCATCTTTTTTATATTGCCTATTGGGAAAAATAAATTGGTTCAGCTTACTGCGGTTCAATTAGCTCAAAAATTTAAGTTGGTTTAGTTAGCGTTATGTATGATAATAATGTTTCCATAAACTACCAAGTAAATAGAATAGAAATTCTGCCCTAAGATTCCTGCTCTAATTTCTGGGAAAGCTGTTTCACATGCTAATGAAATGCACTTATCCACAGGAGAAACTCCAGTACAAGCAAATCCTGTTTCAGTTTTGTCAACAGTAATCTCAAGCTATAGGAATGTCTCAGGTATCTGTTGCTTTGTGCCATGCAGGCACTGGGATAGAGCTGAAAACCTTTTGTTTTGGGAGATCAATCAACTGAGCACAGCTAATGCAGTAATTCTGCCTGTGAACCATGGCAAAAGAGAAAGGGGAAGGAAAAAGAAAGAAAGCAAGAAAGACTTATAGTTCAAGTATCTGAATACCCCAAGCCTCCTAACTGTCCTGCTCTCCTGACTGAGAAGCTGCTTAGCCTGACTGCCAGTTATTATGGGGACAAAATCTAAATTTCCATGACCATTATAACCCTTTGCTATTTCTTACATGATAGTGATACCTGGAGCACAGAATATTTACCACTATAAGATTTAAGAACAGTAAGGGCTAAAAAAATTTGGAACAGTAGAACCACAGGGCATTCAATGAGACCTACCTCAGCTCCTTTTTAATCTGACTAATTTGAGATTCATAATAGTCAATTAGACAAAGGTACCTGAAGAAAGGAAAAATTAATTTTGAATTTCAGATGTTCTCACAAAACTCATACTATGACCAACCCAGAGGAACAGGTCAGCTTACACAGCTGCACTGCACTTTGGAAGTGGCTGCTACAAACAGTGGAGTTTCTCTCATGCCAGACAACCATCGTCACATTTTGCCAAAATAGAAAAGTAGACACATTGAATCTGTACTAGTTTAGAAACAGCAAAATATTCAAGAGGAGAAGGAAGTTAAATCTGCCCACCAGCCTCCTCATCTTATGCTTGTGGTTGTCCAGCAAGATTAACAAAGAGGCACAATCAAAATGAAGTGTCTTGAGCACTCTGAGATTGTCTGGTTTGGAGAGACAGATGAGGGAGGACCAAATTCAGCAATCCTTTCTGTGATATAGTGAGGGCTCAAGCAAAAAGCTGAGCACACACAATTCCTCTTAAAAGCTTCCCAGGTAAACATTGCTGGCCAGGCCTAGAAAACTGATTTTTTATCAGCACAATAAAGCAATGGCTACCTGAGGGCTAGGAATTGGCAAATGTCTGAATGCAGCAGAACTATGGAAATCCTACTGGCAAGAGACACAGCCTTGTGACACTTTGGGAACTCCCCAAAAGTACTTGGAAGCTTGCAAGCAAGCCTGCAGTCAGCAGTTGCAAGCATCACTTCCCAAAATTGGAAAGGCTTTTTCTTGGGGGGCTAAGGATGGTGTTTGCTGGGGGGTTTGTTCCTTTTTAACTTACATTTTTAAATGTTAGAATCCCAGGATGAGATCATCCTAGCTGACACTGCAGCTACAGTGCAGAGTGAATCATTCCCTTCCCTTTGCTGACATCTAGTGTGGGCAGTGGGTGGCAATTTTTAAATTTCTGCCATGGATTTATCTGGCTTACAGTTTCACAAAAGAAAAATATCACTGCACTGAGGTACCTTTACAAGACTTCATATTTTGTCTTGTATTCCTAAAATCTCCAGATTACTTTTTTTTCCCCATAAAAATACCAAGAAGCATTACATTAAAACCTGTTTCTTCATTTAATGCTGCAGGGATTCAGCAGTAAAAGAGAATCACTTACCGCTGATCCAGAACAGACTTGGGAGCTCTTTTGCAAAACTGACAAAACATTTTGTTTTGAGTGTCAGCTCGCTGCTGCTCCTCCCTCCCAACTCTGCTCAGCTCCTTCTGCAAGCGGGCAATGATCTCTTCCTGTTCTTGCAGCTTTTCCTGCTGCTGTTGGTATTTTACCTGTGAACAGGCAATGGGAACATTACTGAATTGCTCTGACCCACAACCTGACTGGACTGTACAAGCCCAGGTACACACTCAGAACCAAGGAAAATGAGCACTTGGGTTTTAGCCATGCTGAAGAGACAGTAGCAGAGGGATACAGACATTTTTCTAAATTATTTGTAGAAAATTCTGCATAGTTTGAAAATACTTAGCTATAAACAGTGTACTAACCCTATGACCCACGATTCATGTTTATTTAGATCAGCATAAATATTCTGAGATCTTTTATAAGTCAAAAGTTTGAATCCTCAGGCAGCACTATCTGAATTACCCGTGAAGCCTGTTGCTCTTTTTGAAGTTCCTTGACTTGGTTCTGTTGCTGGCACGCTTTAGCTATTGTTTCATCTTCCAGCTGACAAATTTTGGCCTTAATGTTTTTCACCACAATTTCCAAATCATTAGCCCGTTGCTCTTGCCGAGATGCCCGACCTTGTTCCAGTCGTACCACATCTCTGAAAAAAGAAATGAGTCCTTGCTTTTAACTTAAGCTCATTTCACTAGACAGGGCAGGAAGAACACACCTATGTGCTGACCTTGGATAATCCTGTGGCAGCAGGTGTGGGAAATGCACTGATATGAGAAGAAGAAGCAGATGAAACATGGGAAGAGCTGGAAAGGAACTGGGACAACCATGCTGATTATTGAACAGTAACCTCAGGAAAAAGGTCTCCACCAGGCTGGAGATGCACACTGATAGTACTTTTACTCTGCAGGTAAATTCCTTCCACTGTCTTACCTAAGACATCGATTTGCCTCCATAAGGCCCTGCATCACCTTCTGCTGTCGCTCAGTGTCTTCCACCAGCGTTTTTAATGCAAGTCTTATTTCTTGAGAAGACTGATGGTCTAGGACAATCATATCTGGAGATACAGAGCATAAGCAAAGTCACAATGAAAGTGTTTTAATAGCCAAAGATTTGCCTGTTTGCTGCCACTAGGAAGTGGCAGCTTTGGAGATGAACTTATGAAGTTAGGGTTACTATTTCCGAATACAAAAATTACATTTGCTTACCTGATGTATCTCCGCAGCTTTGGGGGGCAGCAAGACTCACGGGTTTCAACCCATGACGCATTAATATCCTGTTCAGGCTTTCCCACTCTGCCTTCTCCTGCTCCATTGGGAGAAAGGGAAGAAGAGGCAGAAACCTGAGTTCTTCACATCAGCTGCGCAGCAGAAGGTACCAAGTGCCCACAAATGAAAGCGAACCAACCCCAAACACCCAAGAGGCCACTACAGGAGAGCTTGTGAGAAGCTCCAGTAGGATCGGCAAAGCACACTGGGGAAAAGCGCACTTAACACATGAACAGTTTTTCCGCTCCCTACTTGAAAGCAGAACAGGCGCAATGAGTTAAATTCGCCCCTTTAGGATCCCAAACCACCGGCCCTCGGCTCCCTCCAACGCACGCGGCGCAGCGGCCCCGCCGCGAGCGGAGCCCTCAGCGCGGCGGCGGCGGCGGCGGCTCTGCGCGTTCACGGGCCGCTCCACCGCCTTTTGTCCCGCTCCAACCGCCCAGCGGCGACACCCGGGGCCCGCAGCGTACCTCGGTCATGGCGAGGGCCGCAGGGCAGCAGAGGGGCCGCTCCTCAGGCCGCGGAGCCGCCGGGCGGGAGCGGAGCGGCGGGCGGGGCGGCCGCGGGGCGGCGCTGCGCGGGCGCCGCCATTTTGCGGCGCGGGAGGCGAGGGGAGGAGACCGGGCGGAGGTAGGAGCGGCGGCGGCGGGGCGCGGGGCTAATAAAAACAAAAAATAAAGACAGGAGGAAATGGAAAAAAGCTCGTTGCTGGCGGTAAGGGTGGGGGCAGATCTGCCGTCCTCGGAGCTCGTGCATTTCTCGGTGTGCCACCCCGCGATGCCGGGATTAGGTGGATGGTCTGGGAGCTGTAATCCCAGCCTGGCTTTCAGAACGAGCCTTTCCGTGAAAAGGAGTACACAGCGCCTGGGGCTGCTGGGTTGGGCAGTGCATGGGGGCGGTGGGAGCAGCGGTGCTGTGTCCCTTCGGAGCCGCTGCAGCAGCGCGCGGCTTTCCCCTGGGATGCGGCGGGACCGGCCGGCCTCCAGCACACACCCTGGCCTAGAGCCTGCCTTCGGGCTTGCTGTAAAATAAACGTGCTTCATCACCGTGGTCTGAGGGGAAGGAAATAAAAAAAAAAAGGAATTTGTGTGTTCTGGGGTGCTTCCAGCACTGATCCTAAGTGATGCCGGGAGCCCGCGCCGCAGGACTGCGGCCTGCGCGGGGCGGTGAAGGCTCCGGGCTCCCCGGGGCTCCCCCGCTGGCATCCCCCGCTGGCATCCCCGCGTGCCCGAGGCCGGCCCTCGTGCTGATCCCTGCCCGGGACACGCGGGTCTGAGCCCAGCCCGCTCCTTGGAGCGGAGCAGGGAAGTATTCCCCGCCTGACTCCCCCCGTGTGCCTTCGCAGGAACCAGAAACTTCAGGAGAGTCAAAACAGCTCCTCGGCATTTATTAGCACGTATTATCATCTGCTTGTTTATTGTTGATAGGTACAGACGTGACAGATCATGACGAAATTAATGAGTGAAAATAATACATTGAAAACCAGTGGTTGTAAAGCACCATCGTGGTCTAAAATCCTCTTAAGTAAGAAATTTGTTCCTTGTGGCTCACATAGATTTTGTGACTGAATTGCCAGGTCAAATTTATTAATGTGCTTGTTGAAAGTTGCTACGGTGCTTTAGAAAAGGGAGGAGGTGAAATTACTGCCTGTGCTATTTCCAGTCCCAAATTCATTACGGTCTGGGACTGAGATGGGCGGCTCTGGATTGGATTCCTGCTTTGGTCAAGCTGTCAATTTCTAAGCTTTGTCTTGCAAATTAGGCAGCCCATTTTTCCATCCAGTAACTGACAAAGTTATGAGGAGCTAGTAAAGGTAGGACAAACTTTACTCTTATATTTTTAAAAATACACTTGCCTTTCTGTCTTAGAGAAAGATGGTTGCATTTTAAGTGGTTTTATTTTATCATATGTACAACAGCACTGCATGTTAGTTAATGATGCTTTTAAAAATGTCCTTTATCTTAGCTGGAGAAAATTATGAAACTCTAGACTTCAGCGCTTGTCTCCTACTATTCTGCTTTTCTATTTTTTCTTGCTGCTAATTGGATTAAAAGCTCTTTTGGCTTCTATGGCATCCGGTGAGGAGATTACGGTCTATGACGATGAAGTAAGGTAAAAAATCACAACTGTGATATGAACAGATTTGGAAAGATATCCACAGTTCCAGTGGCCACTTATGATTGTGTCTAAACTTTAAAAATTACTTGAATAAAAGGATATCTTGCCAGATCCGTTCCCCTGTGTCTGTGTGTGCAGAGTTGCATATCCGAATGATGTAGGTAGTGTTTATGAGATTAGAGACAAATCTGTTAACACAGCAAATAGTTAAACTGGCCATACTGTTTTTTTCAAGTCTAAAAAGCTTCTTTGAGACCAATCAAATAATATAATTTATTGCCTACCAAGAAATAGCAGAACTGTCCAGGAGAATCTTAAAACTAAATATAATTTTGTTATCTATTTTCACCTGAAATGGGAGTTTTAGAGGTTAGATGGGTAGCTGTGTCTTTGTACTGTTTGTCAAAATGAGTCTATTTAACTGTTTATATTTTGTGATTTTTGTCATCTTTGAATGTCTGAAAAACATTAAAATATAAGCAGTTCTGTAAGCTTATTCTTTCAAGTCTCATTTTGTATTTGCAAAAAGTGCAAATACAAAAGCAGAAGAAGCAGTAAAGCTTTGAACTGCAGACATTGGGACTTGAACTTTCAACAACAATTAATTTACTTTGTTGGTTTCTCCTTAGGTCTCGGTACAGCCACTTAGAGAAGATGACAGATTTGGTGGCTGTTTGGGAAGTAGCTTTAAGTGATGGTGTTCATAAGATTGAATTTGAACATGGGACCACTTCAGGAAAGCGTGTTGTCTATGTTGATGGAAAGGTGAAATTGCTATGTGCTCAAAATTCACTGTGACACAGATTATATAAGTGCACTTCCATGCAACACACATCACAACAAACAAAAGACTAATAAATGCGAGTGAGCTACATTCAGTTAATTGCCTACTTTAATGGAATGCATCATTCTTTTTTTCAGTTCCAATTAAGGTGTGAGTATTCATGAAGTGCTTTGCTGTCCTTGGGCAGAGGCACTCTGTGCATACAAAGCACCGTGTATGCATTCATTCCCAAATATTTCAGTACTGAGCTGTCTCCTGAGTTCCAGTTCAATTTTTTAATATTAAAACATGCACTCAGGTTTTTCAATTAATACCCACTGTCTTTGGTTTTTGTTTTTTGGTTTTTTTTCTGCAGGAAGAAATAAGAAGAGAATGGATGTTTAAATTAGTGGGTAAAGAAACATTCACTGTTGGAGCTACTAAGACTAAAGCTGCTATTAACATTGATGCAGTCGGTGGCTTTGCATATGAATATACTTTGGAGATCAATGGAAAGAGTCTCAAGCAGTATATAGAGAACAGGTTAAAAACAACCAATACTTGGATATTGAGCTTGGGAGGCACAGACTATAGAATTGTTCTAGGTAAGTAAACATAAACATTGAGTAAGTAAACATGTTGCTGCCTTTGAATAAACTTGTGTACATTTAAAAACTGGCAATTAAGAGAAAGCACAGTTCAGTGGGTAGCTCTTACACAGTATAAAATCCTGGGGGGTGTGGAAGTTTGGAATGAGATGCCAAAGACAGTTTGAACAGTAATGGTCTTGTTGTACACGTGTGAGTCTACAGCAGCATGGTCTAGATTTGGGGGGAAAAAAAAGTTGGGAGGCATTACTGCTGCTGCATCCATAGAACTGCCCTAGCAAGGCAGTTCTCCAGGGAAGCCTGTTACAGAAATTTTACCTGCATTGTGATCAAACCTCACGTGGGTCTAACCAGGCTTTCCTTCCAAAAATCATCAGCCTTGGTGAAGAAGTCTTTATCTGAAGTGCAACAATGTTATTCCATATTTTTGATAGATTGATGAGCATCCTTTTTTCTGCATCACTTATCTACAAACTTAAACTAAAACCTTCCAATGATGTTCTTTCACTTTCTTAATAGTAAGGCAATACATTGCTTCTCTTCTGTCCTCCCTTTCCCAGTTACACTACAAGCAGGTGGGAGGAAGGGATCCCTTGAGGAATTTGTCCATGGCATCTAGTGGGAAAACTTCCACTTGGGCATTGCTGTATGGTTAGAGCTGGAGACAAGAGATCTCAGACTATGATTTCTTCTTAAACCTCAGGACAGAATGAACTGCCCTAAGATGAAGGGGAGCAATGAAGAAAGACAGTTTTAGTGCCAGAAACAGATAAGTCTTCACAGAATTTTAATCTCCCTATGCTTACTGGAAAGGCAAGCAGGGGTTCAGCTCTCTGCTGTTGTGTCAATGACAGTGTCAGTAAAGGGAATTGCAGCAAAGTAATTTAAGGAGGATGTGCTGGGAGAAGTAAAAGAATATTCTGTTTCAAGTTCAAAAAACCCTTAAGATTGGTATTTAAAGTGGAACTTGGTGCTTTTGAAATATTAAGAATACAGACTGTTTAATGGATGTTAAATAATGCTGCTTTTGAATTAATTTGACCTGCAAAAAGAGTTAGAGCTTTATTGAATAACCAGCACTCAAGTAATTAGCAGAAATTACTTCACTTTTCTGTCTTAATTTTTTGAGTTTCAGACTGTCAGAGTATCTCTGGCACTATTCAGAACAACACAGTGTTAACAGCCAGGACTAGGGAAGGGTAAAAATGTATCTTCAAAGCAGAAGTTGATGACAGATCCTCCTCTCTCTCCAACATGAGAACAAACCCTGTAGCTCAGGTACTACAGCTGCTTCTTTTGGGAATTGAAGTAAAATTCAACAGTAGATTTTTAAAATCCCTAGATCCTTGTTTGTAGAGACAAAAAAAAAACCAAAAAACCAAACAATAACCTTATTCTTTCTACCTTTTTCTTCCCAGAAAAGGACACTATGGATGTGTGGTGCAACGGTCAAAAAATGGAAACAGCGGTATGTGATCCTTTCCAAAGCCTATGGACATGTAACCAAAGCTTGGCAGAAAAAGCCCCAGAGGGGCACATTATCTCCCTTAACCAGAGAGGCCAAGGCAGCTAGGATGCTCCTGGTCTGTTCCAAATGACCTTCACTGAATTTTATAATGGGCAGTATTTCAGTTCATATGTCAAACATCTGCTTGTTTAAAGATAAATGATGATTTTCTTTACCCTTTTTAGACAAACAAAAGAAATTTGAGTCAGTTGTGCAGGATTTTTAGGGAGAAAACTTTCTGGAGATTGGGAAGGATTTGAGTGTAGAGCCACTGCATCCAAACCTGCTTGTAATAGTTGTCAGTGAAAGTTGAACACATATAATCTGTTATGACTCATGCTTTTTGCCATTTTGAGAGGTTCCTCATACTTAGGGCTTAAGAGCCTCATTGGGACAAGTCAAATCTTTTATCTTGATCACATCTGCATTAATTTTCAGAGCAGGCTGACAGCTAGGTGGTTTAATCTGTTTGGTGTATTTCTGCACACCAGGTAGGCTTCCCCATCCTCGAAGGATGTGCTTTCTCACCAAGGGTATCAAAGTTTTTACTGCTGCCACAAGGAAGCCCCTGGATGAGTACAAATGGTAAAATCAACAGTTCTGCTATATCTGAGAGCAGGATGAAAAGATTCACCAAATGTTTGCTTGGTAATCAGTGGAAGAAGCCTCCTCTTCCAGTAAATCAGGACTTTGCTCCTGATGGCTCAGCCTCTTCTGCAGTGTACTGAAAGCACTCAGAGGTGTCCTTGCAAGCTGTGAGTGCAGGTTTAGTGCCAAACTGTGCTTCCATTAGAGCAGCACCCATTAGTTCTGCTCTCATCATGATAAAAACAGCCATGCCTGGGAAAATCTCTAATAGGAAATTCCAGAACTGCAGCAGGGGATGTGTATCCAAGATACTCAACTGTTGTACTCAATTCAGGGATCTGCTGTAGAAGGCCTCCTAAACACTTTACCTTCCACTGCCACTTGAGCACAGGTTTGTGTGGCACCACCTTGGCAGGATGCTGACTTTCCTGTTGTTTACTGACATGAAACAGTAGTATTGATTCACAAACTCCAACCTCTACCATTTCTGATCGTGTGACATTTTCATTGTCATCTGATACCCACAAGTCTTTAACTGGGCACCTTGACAGAGCCCTGCCTGAGATTCAGCAGCTTTGTTCAGCTTTCAGGCAGTACTTGTCACAGCTACCTAAAGCTGCTGTAGCTGTGGGAACTGCAAGTGATCTTGACATTGATGCATTCGAGCTTTTCATTTATTAAAGTATCAAGTGTCTGTTTTTATTCTTGTCTCCTTTCTCCCAGGGTGAATTTGTGGACGATGGGACTGAGACTCACTTCACTGTTGCTGACCACAGCTGTTGCATTAAGGCTGTCAGTAGTGGGAAACGAAAGGAAGGAATTATTCATACCCTCATTGTGGATGACAGAGAAATCCCAGAGGCTGTGGAATAGCCTCTGGTTAACTATTATGGTAGGACTAAGATCAGGAATTTTCAATTACTGTGGTAATTATTTTAATATGTACTACTTGGTACATCTAGATTGTGCTGGGTTTATTTTCTAGTTTCTGTACACTAAATTATTATTTTTGAGGACCAGATGAAAATAATTATGTACAACCTCTTACATTACCAGCTTTTAAAAAAAGCTATATATATCTAGAATATATAGCATATTCACTACGTGTGGAGAACACTAGTAAAACAGAAATTATATGTTAGGAAAAATCATGCTATAATAAAATGAAAGATAAATATTCCGTAACACTGAATCCTTAGCTGCAGGTGTATGTGGAATGAAGAGAAAGCCTGTACTGGGCACAGGAGTAAGATGTTAAAAGCTTTCTCTAGAATTATTTTTTCTGTTAAACTGACTACAGACCTTTTCACATACAGTTAAGAGAAATTACACAGTTAATAAAAAGGTTAATAATGCAATACATAGTTACCAATACTTGTGTTACAGTATTAAATTAATACTGAGTTATGAAAACTGTTCTCTATTCCCACTAGGAGCAAGATGTTACATTGTGCCAAAAATAACATTCCTTTCTTTCTGTGTTCCGAAAACTGATGCTGTAGTTCAGAAACTCATTACTGAGTTTTTTCAAAAAAGAAAATAGAAGAAAAAATAATTCCTGCCATGAAACCCCTTTAAAAATATCTCCTGGAGCATGCTGACATAAGAACTTACCTTTGTTCAGTGGTAACAAATCTGAAATCTACAACTATGTGTTTTTATGGCAGTAATGTGTGAATCAAGAAATAAGAGGAACAAGGGGACAGAAATGGAAAACCGTTGATGACTTTAATGGAATAGTTAAAATAGGAATAGACTAATTCTGTTTTCAGAATTGCAGCATAATTTCTAAGAGCAACCTTTGGACTTTTTGAGAGCAAAACTCTTGTGTTAGAGACTCACACTACAAAACTCTCTTTGAAACGGCAAGCATAGCTTGTCTTAAAAATAATTTTTAAAAAAAACAAAATATGAATATATTAATCTAAAAGTTTATTTTGCAATGGTTAAAAAATATTTCCACTTGTAACCTCAGAATTCAGAATTAAACTTTTATAACTTAATTTATTTTGGACTTGTGAATGGCTCCTAGCACTACAACTACTAGCTCAGGAGTTACAGGTGCAGTACAAGCATCCTGGGTATCCATTAACACATTATTTTGAAAAGTTTTATTAAATGCTAACTTCATCTGTGTTTTAGAGATCAGACTGCTCCCCATCAGCAGGCTTTACGAGAGGAAGTTTCCAGGTACCCAAGTGCTGGACTGAATCCCCTTTTACACTGGAATTACTGTAACAGCTCTTGGGCTTTTCCGTGTATTTGCTTCAGGTCACTGCAGAAGCAATGTGGGGATTCCTGGCTACAAGGCTGACAATGTAATCTTTACAAGATGTTGGTAAAGGTAGATTAATTGAAAAATATCTTCAAGCTGTAGCTTGAACCAGTTCTCTACTATTTTGTAACCTTTCAAAGAGATTGAATGCTGCTGAGAAATCTGAAGCTCCTGTACAGTACAAATCACGTTAAGACTACAGAAAAATACAAGTGAACAGATAGTGACATTCATACTTTTTATTTTGAATATGTGCATCTACAGTGCTTGAAGTAACTAATAAAAAATGTACAGCAACCATTGTAAGAAATCCTGAAGTATTGCCTCATGTTTGTCTTAACTGTATATAACAGCATGTCCCTAAGCAGAAAACAGCTCTCATCTGCTACATTCTCCTATCTTAAGTCAAAAGAAAACTTAAGACTCAAAAGGCACAACTCAGATTTCTTTTGCTTCCCTGATATATGCAGTATGTCAGATTACGAAAACGCAGTGGAAGAATGGCAGCCTACACAAACATCAAGTGTATAGTCACAAGCTGAGATCACTTTAAGGATTAAAGCAAATTATCAGGTATGTTAAATGTTAAAGCTAAATGTTACACTGTATTTTGGAATGCCTTCCCTTCTGCTTCTATTCACAGGTAATTTTGTCCTAATCTCTTTAGGATGTTAACTTACTCCGTTGTTCACAAATATTTCAGGGAGCTTTTCAGGAAGCACTCTGACCATAGCACATTACTTAGCAGAGCATTCTCTTGAATCTAAGACTTTGTTCTCAGAGGGTCTTCACCATAGCTACAGTTCTGCTCTATTCCCACTGAGGATCCTGCTTGTTTCCTCCAGGATCTACACACCTTTCAGTGGGGAACAAGTCAGCAAATACTGTGGAAGGGCTGCAAAACCATTGAAAATGACAAAGATCTCAGGATTGTACAAACTATCTACTAAACTGTCATATAATGTAAAGGCATTCTTATCCAGTGCTGGTGGTATAATGCAGGATGGCAGGCCTGTAGTGTATTTGCCAGTTACTACATCAGCCTCAAACACATACATTTTAGACTCCATTTCCCATGTGGCTTTATCCTTGGTCAGGTACCTCGGGTTCTTTGTGAAGTAGATGCCAGCTCCATATTTTTGTTCTGGAAAGAGAAAGAAGAATTTTCAGAAGAGAAAGCGTTTAGCAGTTGGTTCTTTCAGGGTGGTAGTTCCAAGAGACTGCTGCTTGATTGTGGGTTACAAGGAATGTGACTGCTCAATCAGTGTGTGCCATCCTTTTGGAAGTTAATTTTCATGGAGTGGCTCTGATACTTGCACTGACCTCCCACTGCAACCATGAGCAATGACAGCTGAGGGCCATTCCAGTTAACTGCTACTCCAGTGCTAACTGTTCAGATTTATCCCTTAATCCAGTGATTGAATCATCAAGGTCCAAAGGATTTATATAAAATAAATATATGACTCACACTTCAGTACGAGGGACTCTGATAAACAATGAAAGTCAAGGTCCAAAGGATTTATATAAAATAAATATATGACTCACACTTCAGTCATCCTGTACGAGGGACTCTGATAAACAATGAAAATCAGCAAGATCTTGATAATGTAAACTACAAAAAAAAGCTTTGAGATTTGTATGAAAAATGTCACATGAAGTGCTGTTACAGTATCAAATGGAAAAATGCAAAGAAATTAGACCATCATCTTACTGCTTTTAAAGTGGAAATGTGCCATGTACATTACACAGACAAAGAAAGGCAAATTTCCACTTTTTGAACGGTTCATTGCTTGAAATCCCATTATGCAACTGACATGCAAAATACCACACACTTCACTTACTGCAGGATGAAGCACTAAATGCTTATTCTTTCCCTTTCTGGAAGCATCTGTCTACTACAATATTTCACGGATTCACAACTTTCCTCCAAGTGTACTTTACTCCAAATGGAAACCCAAGCAATGAAATCATCTGCTGTCTCTGACCACACGTGATCTGAGCAGGGGCCTGGGCTGCACGACCCTCAGAAGCCCCTTCCAGCCTCAGGAACATGCTTCAGAGCATCAAGCTGCTGAATGTACATTTGCAGCAGCTACATAAGGACACTGACTTTCTTTGCAGTGATGCAACAAAATAAAACTTGGACATGGAATTACGTGTATACTAATAATTCTGTCCAGTGCTTGGGCTAGGCTTGAATTCAGGCCAATCTTCCCAGAGCCTTGCTGGCTCTACACTATCAGGAAGCCTTGCTGTAGATAATAAAGTAAGCTCACACAAATCTAAATACAAGTAAAAATAGTTCTTGTTGAGGAATGCCATTTTTTCTAATTTTAACCTGAGTTTAGTATTCAGTCACTGTTCATTTTAATTAAAGATGCCAAAGCAAGTTATTACCTTCTGGTGGAGAATACATCCTGTGAAATCCAGTTTGGCAAACTGAGCAACAGAACTCTGCAGGAACATTCTGGTACAACTTTTCAGTTGTTTTGGTGCTACCATCTACTGTTTTTTTCATTTGTTGGAATGCAGCAGATAGAAGTGGATTATGTATCTTTTCAATCTGTAACATAAATAACAGCTTAGCAGAAGCAGATGGAGATCAATTATGAAATCCATAAGTGCTTTTATCCAGACTATGTTCTTCAATGCAAGAACCTTTATTTTAGCCTATAAACATTGACCACACAGTGGACAAAATATCTGAAGTGTGCAACTGATCCAAAGAAAAGAATCACACCACTATCCCATGCCTCCCATTGAAATCACTAGCCATACTTCCTGCTGTACTGACTTCCAGTACTTGAGTTATGCTGAAGAGATTAAGTCCATCTCCTGTTCAGTAAAGCAGTCATACCCAAGTATGATTCCAGCTTTAACACATAATCAGATCAGAACTCTGGCACATTTTTAGTGTCAAGCTCACAAAAAGAAAATAGACACTGAAATAGTGTCCTGGAATATTGTACTTAATTTACCCTATCAATCTCATATTTCTCTAGAGTTCTATAAAGAGGCATTTGAAGCAGGAAGTATGAGGGAGAACATACAGTACAATTAAAGAGTTCTCAGAATTTAATCACTTTTTGAGTGACTATTTGCATTATGTTTAAAATACTATTAATTCAGATTAAAGACGATCTGTTTTAAGGATGAGGTTGATCTGATCTTAATTTTAAAGGCAATGCATTGAAACAGTTAATCTGAATTTTTTGACTTTTTGAGTGACTATTTGCATTATGTTTAAAATACTATTAATTTGGATTAAAGACTGGATCTGTTTTAAGGATGAGGTTGATTTGATCTTAATTTTTAAAAGCAATGCATTGAAATAATTGATCTGAATTTTTTACGCTTACATGAAATATGTTAGCTCAAATATGTGAGCTGAGATTCAGTTTCTCTATGAATATCTTTACCCTGAGAACACGAAGTCCAGCTTTTTCAAACTCTTTCTGTCTGTCTTTAAACTCCTGGAGGTGGCACTCTACTGGTGAAATCTGGATGCAGTCAGCAGCACTTGTCTTGTGAAAGTCTTCTTCTGGAAGCTGGCCTGCTTCTGCTTGCCCTGGATATGAAGGGAGTAAAATTTTCATATATCATAATGTCTGAAGCAAAGGCAAGGGAGGGAGATCCACTACTTTAGCTGGTGGTTTAATTAGGAACAAAGAATGTTAAGTGTCCTCTGAAGTATTGTCAGAGGCTAATACTGAGAGGGACTAGTATAAACATACAAAAATGTATGTAAATGTATTCTATTTTTCTGCACTTATTACAAAGAAAAGCAATTTATGATCTCCATGACACCTCTTCATAGCTGAACTTTCATATAAAGGTATCTATATTGAATGACTATTGACACACAAATTAAAATTCATCACTCAGTAGTTTCTGTAATGCCATTAGTTGCATCAATTGTTCATGACAGCTCTGCAGAACAAGTCTCCTGCTGAGCCCTGCGACAGTGGTCCAGCTGTAGCCAGCAAGAGCTCAGCAAAGGTGTGTGTTAATTAAGTGCAAATTTTGTAAATCTCCAGTGGCCAGGCTTTAGAGTGAAGGTATCCTGGCGGGAGCTCCACTACAGCTGGGTATACATCATGACCAGCCCCTGTATAAACTGTGTCCTACTGGGAATACTGCCAAGTGAGTGACCACAGCTAACAAATGGTCTTCCAGGGGCTCACATGGTGAAAGTACAGGGGTATCAGTAACTAAAACAATACTCAGTATGTGTGTGTGAACTGAATGTGTCTGTCCACTCTTAGCAATACACACTGCTTCATACTTAACCTTGTTTAGGCACTTATTTACTTAATTAGTGTTCAGGCACTATTTACTTTACATACACATTGAGTAGAGCAGTTTCTCTTGCTCAGCAATAGTCTTCTCTTGCACACGACGCAGTAATTCTTCAGTTGCAAGCACTGTATCAATCAAAACATCAGGAGGGCCCTGAAGTTCCAGTTTTGCTCGTCCATCTCTCACTTTTTCTGACACACATACACTAGAAGGCTGGTGTCGAGAGAGTTCTGCAAACTCCTCTTTACCAAGGCAGAAAATGTAGTTGTTTTCAATAACAGCATGGGAACCCTCCTGAATTTTCATTACATGTTGGAGCCACGATTCTGCTGCCTCCAGTGCTGTGGGTGTGCACCCTTTAAGTTCAATCATGGCTTCATTGCTTGCAGGCTCTTTTGCAGTTTGACTGCCTGACTCTGCACCTGGAAGATATATATTGTTAACACAAGTGCATTGGAAGAGTGAGGAGCCTTCACAAGGGCTGACACAAATTCCTACTTGTAATCCCAGCCATACAGTACAAGAAACACACTACTCTTCTGGTATACTCAAAAAAGAGATTAGCTACAAGGAGGTAAAGTTTCCAGGATACACACACATATGGAGAATTTATCTGCCTTTCACTAAATTATTTCCAACAACTTAGGCAATGACAACGGGTTTTAAGTCTTAAAAGGGACTGCACAGTTCCATTCCTGTAAATGTAAAAATACAAAGTGTTCACAAGTTTTTGCTTCCTCCTCTCCCCGAGACAGATGTAAATACTAAGTTCCCTATTTTAAAGGGAATTCTGTGATTACAGATTCTCAAAGTGGGAGTACTCATTTACTGGAAATGCCCCTTTTGTTCATTACTTACTCAAAGGATCACTTTTGTTTTCCAGCTTGCATTTTGCTGAATAAAATTTTCTCCGGACAACCTTGAAAGATAAAAGTTTAGGAGGAGTTTGCAATCTCTTATCAAATATGCAATTAAGTACCTTCAAAACTCTGTTAGACAAGCAGTTTACAACCCCACTCCCAATTCTGTTAACACTGGCATTTATCAGCTTTTCCCAAAATGTTATTCCTGACAGTATCAAATGCATTCCTGTTCTGCATCTCCTAGGGTAACACACCTTACACACCAAATAGCACCTTTACCAGCTCCTTGTGGTTGTGGCCTACCTCATGCTATCACATAAGATAAAGGTGTTCATTACTAACAGTTTAATGCTGATGCATCTTTACTCAGTTTTAAAATCCAGACTATTCTCCTGTCTGTCTACTTGAAATCCTTCTATTATGTTAGCTCATATATGTTGATAGTGTCTTGCCTTAGGAGCTCCATACAAAAAACAAAACTGTCTGTAAATATTTCCTAAGGAGGAATGTTTCTTCCTTAATGAGTTAAGAGTAGACCCTTCTTATACATTCACTGACAGACATGAGAATTTTAGAGTTATCTCCCTTTTTTATAAGACTACAGGCTGAAGACTTCTAGTTTAGTGAGGAGAAAATAAGTATTTACAAAGACTGAGTATCTGTTTATGAGAGTAATAGTTTCACAAAGGGACCTGCTGCTCACAATCATTGTTAGTACAGAACAGACTATCATCATTTTTAGTCATCTATGGAAATAGTTTTAGAGTTTTCTGTCTTCATTATGGGTAGTTAACAACAAATTGGTTACCTCACAGGCAGCACGGTCATCTGGGCAAATAACAAACTGCACTTCTTTCTTCTTCCTAGGATGTGCCCTGGCAAAATTTAAAACTGCTTCAATCATGGTCTCTGCCACTAGGTCAACAGGCAGCTTTGGTGACCAATTTATTGGAAAAGAAACTGAGGGAGATGAGTCCTCCTGAAAGTGATCCAGGCATCTTTTCACTGCATCCTTCAATTCCTGCAGGAAAAACAAAACCTTTCAGTCCTCACATCACCCAACATGAAAATCCATTGCCATCCAAAGTAAGCAATTGTCACCTCAAGCTGTAACACCGGGTGCTGGCATTGCAATATCACGTGCAGCACAAATGTAGAGGGCAGCTGATGTGTTTTCATTATCAGGGGCTCCTTAAAATGTTTCGGATGTTGAAGACAATGCTCAAGTTCCATCTGAAAAGCTGGATCCTCTTTTTCCAGCAGTCTTGAAGATTGAGAGGAAGGCCCATCCCTTGCATTCATGAGGTTAACAATAGCTGTATTCTGCAAGGAAAGAGTGCAAATTTCAGTGTACTTCAAACTGACTATTTGCAAGCCTTGCTATTACAGAGAGCATTCTTGCTAAGCACAATTCCTGTACAGAGGCCTGAGTGCCACAGATCAGCTGCTTGAATGTTCCTACTGACTAGGACAGCACTGGAGTACATCAAAGTATGCACTTTGCAGTGGCAGTTCAGAACCAACAGTGTGCACAAAACTGTTCCAGTCATCAAGAGTGCACTGGACAGAATTATTACTCTCCCTATCTAAGTGACCCACGTGCCAATTATCAGCAGGAGAGAACTATGGATGTGGCTGTCATCCCAGCCTCAGGGTAGCAAGGACACATCACCAAATACCAGTGTCAGTACACATAAGGGAACTGCAAATCTATGATTGTTTCCAATACAAATTGTTTCCAGTGGAAAAAGCAGATTCCCATAGTAGGTACACAAAAAATTGTTTACAGAATACTGATAAAAGCAGTAATTGTTCTAACCTTAATTGTTGAATATTATCTAAAGACACAAGGACATGTTTTTCTCATGGTCTTGAGGGTATGTGCATCTTTCAGTGCTGTAGAATTGGTTAATAAAATTCCCTGCAAGGTCAACTTTGCAATCCTTAGTTCTTACACCAAAAAAACCCAAACTTCCTTTTCAATTATGACTTCTTTAAAAATAAAAACTTATTTATTTTTTAAGATTTAGTATTTGCTAAAAGCAAATGCCATTCTTGTGATGTACCTTACAGTCTAAGAGCTCTGTTGAATTCCTATGACTGAGATCATCTATTTTGCTTCAGATTTTCTAGATAAAAAGTTAATCAATTTAAGTAATGCTCTATTTAAAGGCAAGGTGCACATCATCTGTGTATTTTCTGCTGTTTCAGTATTTGCTGAATAATTCCAGTAATGAAGTTATGAGAACATAATGAAGTTATGAGAACATAAATTATAGGAAAAAAAGCAAGGCAGGAAGTAAGAGAATACTTCTGTGGAGTGCATGATAAAATGTGAACTCCTACATAATAAGAAGATAAACCTTAACACAGAGATGTATTATTAAATCATTCAATCTTTAACTGCTTTCTATTATAACAGCATGTATACAAAACCAAAATAAAAACATTCTAAAGTCCAATACCCATTTAGACAAAACCCAACTCCTTGCTACTATGATTTAATTACCGTGTGTAAATTCTCATGAAACTGAGAAGAAAACCATTTAGTGGACTGATACAAAATGTGTTCTGAACTCTTGGGCTCCAAATCCTGCAAAGACTTGGAGGCAGCACCAGGTTGCACAAATTACAGGACAGACTTACCTTCAGATTTTCTGGGTGTTGTTCTACGATGCGCAAGCGAATGTTTTTGTGTGCGAGGTAAGGTGAAGACTGGCTTAGTGAAGCTGGCACAGTGTCTTCAAGTGAACTGGGATCACCCAGAAACTTTTCACAGGCCTTCTTTATTGCTGCGACTGTAGACTCATCAATGTTCACCAGGCGGATTTCCCTGAGGCAGCTTGGTGGACTTGCCTCAACAAATTCCTTTACAGCCATTACAATCACTTTAGAACACAAATCAATTGGGAAGGCAAAGACACCTGAACTCACTGCTGGGATAGCCACAGACTTTAAAGCTGTTCCTGGAGCACTAACATAAAGCAGAACATTCAAAATAGCTTCCTGAAGTAGCTCACAACATCTTTCCTTTTCAGGAAGACACCACCTAGGACCAACTGCATGAATGATTTTCTTACAAGGAAGCTTACCTCCACCTGTCACTGCTATACCACCAACTTGGACTTTTCCATAGCTTTGAACATAAAGCTTGCTTTCTTCTTTTATTTCTGGCCCTCCAGCTTTTACAAGGGCAAGAGCAAGACCTGCTCCATGTTCCAGATACTCATTGGCTGCATTCACCACGGCATCAACCTTGTGTCTTGCGAGATCATCCTTATAAACACAAACGTCAATGCCCGACTTTACTGTTTTCCTGTATACTTCACCAGTGCTTTTTGCTGCTTTTCTGAAGGCCAATGTACAAGCAAACTTTTTGGAAACGAGCTTATTTAGACAGTTTTCTCTTCTCTTAAGAGCTTCATAGGTATCTTTACTGATGGGCACCACCAAATTGACCTCATCCATTACGATGTCTGACCCTAGGATACAGAATATAAAGTGAAATAGAAGGTATTACTATCAAAACATTTATTTTTATCTGGAAGTGTGGCTTATACCTCTCAATTTTATCCTACTGTCATTGCTAAACAATATTTTTTACACACTCTAATCTTTTCTCTCCCCTTTTCAGAGGTTTATTAAACTCAAGGAGGTTCATTTAACTACACTACAGAGATCTTATACTGAGTTTTAATTCTGTGAGTCTCATTTAGTCTGCACTTAAAGCCGACAAGCAAGTTCTCTATTTGTGTGGAACTTCGTATGAACTCAGTCAGACTTTTTAAACAACATTTTTTAAGGAAGTTTCTATATTATTACTATGGCTGTACAGCCCTCTCCTGGCAGATGTCAGCAGTACTATACTACAGCAGTTATGGTAATTAGTTTAAATCAATCTGTGTGAGTTTAGTCGAACTTTCCTCCAGGGCATACTCCTGCTTGTAAAAAGTCTGACATTTTGCACTTATAAAGTATACATGCTGACTCATCAAAACACGTCTGAGCTCTTGCTTTTAAAAGACAAATGCAAGCAAGTCCTGTTGAAGTAATTCATAAAAATGTTGATTCACAACCGTGTCTATTTCACATTAATTATGGATTTCAGGTTGCTTTTGGCTTTTGTTTTCCAGTTTGCTGGCTGTAGCTTTCAGTTTTCAACTTAGATACAAGTACACACTTCGCAGATGGCTAAATGAGACGCTTACCTAAAGCAGGCTTCCATCCGAAGAAATCTGAAACGTAACTCTATTGTAATAAAAAGAGAAAAAAAGGAAAATATAAATGTTACAAGCAATAAAGTACGTGGGCTGCCTTCCTACAGGAGAGATTCTGTTGCAAACCAAACCGGCAGCACCAGCTTTTCAAACACCTCTACGAAGTTTTCTAGTTTTTAAAATGCTGCTCGGAGCTGCGGGAGCTCTGTGGGTGAAGTTACCCGCAGCTTCCTCGGCTCCGACGAACTCTCGGGAGCGAGAGGCCGGGAAGAGCCGTTCCCGAGCGCCAGGCCAGAGCGCGGGGCTGCTCCGCTGCCCTCAGCCCCGCCGGGAGCTCCCGCCGCACCCGCAGCCCTGAGGCAGCCGCCGCCCCGGGCCCCGCGCCCCCAGCCCCGCTCCTGTACCTGCACGACCCCCATCTCGCTCAGGGCGGATCCTCCCGCTCGGAGCTGCGGGCGGAGCGGGAAGCGAAAGCGAAAGCGAGCGAGCGGCGGAGCGGGAAGCGAAAGCGAAAGCGCGGCGGGTCATGGCGGCCGCGCCGCTGCTGGTGTGGGTGAGCCCTGCGCCCGCCGCCGGCGAGAAGGCGACCCTCAAGCTCCAGAGATACTTCCAGTCGGGAAAGCGGTCGGGGGGCGGCGAGTGCACCGTGCGCCCCGGCCCCCAGCCCGGCACCTACTGGGTGGACTTCTCTAAGGAGCAAGGTACGGCCGGGCGCCGCGGCTCGGCCTGGCGGGACGGGGCGGCGGTGGCTGAGGGGACTGGAAATGGCCGCTGAGGCACCATTTAGTGTCCCTGGGCAGGGCGGCTCTAGGGCCGCTGGTAGCTATCACGCTTGCAGGTAACTTTATCAGCCTTATCTGCCTTTGTCCAAATTCAGAGAGGATCTCATTGATGCATATAAATATCTCAAAGGCGTGCCAGACTTTTCGGTGGTAGCCAGCGACAGGACAAGGGGCAGAGGGCGTAAACTAAAACACAAGGAATTTCACCCTAAAACGAGGAAGAATTTCTCTACATCGAGGGTGGCTGAGCAGTGGAACAGGCTACCCAGGAGGGTCGTGGAGTCTGTGTCTCTGGCGACATGCCTTGGCCCTGGGATTGGGCGGGATGATCTCCAGAGGTTCCTTCCAGCCTAACAGTTCTGTGATCCTGTCTTTCTGAAATTACCACAGATAGGAAGAGTGTGGAATCCCGCTCAAAACACACCTTGGAAGTGGGTACAGGATGCTGGGATATAGTCGTCCTGCCGGCAGAAGGGGAGCCGGGCAAGAGCCGGGTTGCCGCTGCCAGCGCTCCCCTGCCCCAGCAGCAGCAGCCGGACAGCGCTGGCTGCGGGGCCGCAGCCAAGGAGGACCTTACCAAAAAGGTACATCAGAAAGAGCAATGTCACAGCCTGCCCTGCTTGAAGTTCCATGAGTTCTTTGTGTTGCGCTTCAGTGTTTCGTGCCAAAAAAAATATCAGTTAGGCAATCTTAGTCGATGGAATGGGGGGCCAGGAGTGACATTGAGTGCCAGACCAGAGGTCAGTCTACACTCGTTTGCAGGCAGCATGTTTTCCAGCCTGACTATGGCAGGTGCCAACCACTATTCCCCAAAGCAGCGCTCTGGCAGGTTTCAGGGGGTAGTATGCACCAAGGGCTGCTCCCAAAAGGTAGAAGAATTGTATGAGATTTGGATCCTTTCCACCTATACCTTTCACCTACTCTTCCACCTTTCCACCTACTCTTTCAACATGGTTTGCACCTTGAGGCAGCCCTAATTATCTCCATCTCTTCAGCATTAGAAAAGTCTGCTGTGATGTGATGTAGCACCGCTAACATGATTTCAGACACTTTGAACTAAAAGTTGCACAGAAAAGATCAGCTGTGTTTAGGGACATGGGATAGGGCAACGTGGTGTGGATGTGGCTCTACCAAGACACTGATATCTGGCTCAGAGGGTTTTACCCTGTTTTGATTGGTAACATAGATCTAGTTTTTGAAGTATAGCATGTGGTAACATAGTGTTTGCCTGGCATCTATACTGCAAATTTCCCTATTCTGTCTGTGTGAAGTACAGAAGGGAATATGTTTGTTGTTATTTTTCAGAATCCTGTTTTCTGCTCTAACTCTTGGAGTTATTAAAGCATGACTTCTGTGAAAATTTTAAAGAAAGATGAGTGAAAACTAGAAAGCCTAATATTAATAAAAACAATTAAATATAACTTAGAGGTCATGTTAAAACATGTTCTGTCTGTGTAACCTGGCTCTAAGGGGATAGACAGATTCCTCTGGGGATCCTTGGCAGAATAACAATGATGTAGTTACACTAAGATGTAGTTACAATGATGCCTCAGGTTTTAGCTTTTATATTTTTCAGATTCTGTGCTGCTTTAGTGTGTAGTTCTGAGCTTCATATTAGGGGATGGTGAACTCTCTTCACAGAGTAGGGAGACAAAACAATTCCTTCTCTAGCTGGGGACCAAGGACAAATGATCCAAATTTCAGGCCCAAGAGCACAAACAATAATGGACTATAGGTGGACAATTAACTCCAATATGCAAATGGACCAGAACTTACATGTTGATGTGTTCTTGTGTTTTCTTTAGATATTTCTTACAGTATCTGCTACTTTGAATGCCAGTGTGTTCACTGAAGACCAAAAGGAGAAAATTACCATTATGTGTCCAAACTTAAAGAGAGAAAGAAACCCTGGAGTGGATGGCTCTGAGAAATTGACAGGAGATTTTACAGATATTGAAAAAGCTTATCACTACTTTGAAGATATCCTTGCAGGCAAAGACCCAAACCATGATTTTTCCCATTCTGAACGTAGGAATGGTTTGAAAGATGAAAATGGCCTGAATACTGAAGAAATGGTTGAGTTTACAGTTGTGACAGCTCTCTATGAATATTTTAGTCATACCCGCAAAGAGGAAATCAGAGAACTACACAAAAGGTTTGGAGCACATATAGGCATTAAAGGCCATGACAAGGATAACACATTCATATACATATCTTCTGATAAAAGTCCTGCATTGTTACCAGCAGCTAGTGATTCTTTTATCAGAATTTTTCAGGAAGCTACAAAAGATCTGACACAGGAAAAAGTTCCCATAACAAAGAGTGACACATTGAAAGAAACAATAGTAAAATTAAATGAAAGATTTGGAAATCTTCTTGCTAAAGAGGAAGGGAGTCACTTGCTACTCCGTGGTCCAAGGAGTGAGATTTTAGCTGCCCAAAAATTTCTAGCAGGAGAAGGTGAGAACAGCCAAGCTGAAAAGAATATGAAAATATCATCTGAATGTTACAAATACAGATATGGAATTGGAGTTGATGCTTCTGTGTTGAACTTGTTGGAAAATATACTAAGCAAAGAAATTGAAAACATAAATGGCAAATTTGATACACTGGTAGAAATAAAAGAGAATTCACCTGGCCAGAAGGTCATTATATTTAGGCCTAAATCCAAAACTTCTGATATGTCATCACATGCTACTGAAAGTTTTATCAGTGCATTTCAGAGTGCCTCTGCAATGTTAACAGAAAAAATCATCAGCGTGAAGCTTTCAGAAGATCAGAAGGAAACTTTAGGTGTTATGCTTAATGCTAAGAAATTTGAAGATCTTAAGGTAAAACTTAAGAAGGATGAAGATAAGTTAATCTTAAGGGGTTTACCAGTCCATCTTGATGCTGCTGAGAAGTACATGAAGTCCCTTGACATTGAAGGAACACAAACTAGAAATAGGGCAGCACTGTCCTCTGACCTCAGCTCTCAAGAAGCTACAGGAGCATCTAAGTCCAGTGTTAGGCAAAAGAATAACCTTTCTTCTGAAGGACAGACTCAGGCAAAGGCAGAAGAAAAAGAAGATGATGAGTGTCCAATTTGCAGGGACACAATTGAAAATAAAGAAATACTAGAAAAGTGTAAACATGCATTTTGCAAAACTTGCATTGACCTAGCCATGAGTTACAAACAAGCTTGTCCAGTTTGTAATACTGTCTGTGGAGTCCTGATAGGAAACCAGCCAGAGGGAACAATGTCAACCAGAAAAATCCGTTTATCTCTTCCTGGTTATCCCAATTGTGGCACTATTCAAATTGACTATGATATGAATGGTGGTATTCAAACTGTAAGTATACTTAAATATTTCTTAAAGATATTTTTCCCCCCAACAAAACCAGTATTTAATATAAAATTAACAGTTTTGCTGTTACTTTAATGCGTGGTCAGGGAAGACATTTCTTTGTTTTGTACAAATCTGCAAGTGTTTAATTCAATATTTTTGGGTGTGATTAAGTAAATACAGTAGGAATTAAATGATCAGATGATCAGCCTCCATTTTATATGCATAAGGACAGAGATACCTGTCTTTAATTTGTACAGTGGGAATAACTGAACTGAAATCTGTGCAGTGATATCGTATAAAGCAAAGTTTTGCAAGTATAATGAGCATTTCTGGAGTGTTCTCTGCTGTGAGCAGCAATGGACAAAAATAAAGAGTGGGCTGGCTTGGTGAGAGCTTTCCAGGTGAGAAATCTCCTTATGTTACGTGCTTGGATTCGTGACTAGGACTGAGAATGGAGTAAATTAAAAAGTCACAGGTGGAGCACCTTGCATTTGGGAGAGAAAAGAGGGAAAAACAAATTTAAAAATAACCATGGGTGCATGAGCGATGACAAGAAAGTGTGAATGAAATTTGTAAGAAAGTATCTAAAGAGAAAAAACTCAGAATCAGTTATCAGTCATGCTGTGTCCTTCTGAATGAGTTATGATGCACAATGTGTTTCTGTTTTGTTTTTCTACAAAACAGAGCAGCCATCCAAACCCAGGGCAGCGTTATGGGCCAGTTCACCGAACAGCATATTTACCTGACAATAAGGAGGGGCGAGAAATCCTGCAGCTCCTCGAAAGGGCCTTTCACCAGAAATTGATTTTCACAGTGGGGCAGTCACGCACTACTGGTGAACAAAATGTTATCACGTGGAATGATATTCACCACAAAACTTCCATGGAGGGAGGACCTTCCCGGTAAGTAGTCTCGCCTTTCTGCAATACTGTTGTTACTCAGATGTGTCAGGACGACTGCCTTGAATATTTTCCACATTGAGAGCTTTCAGATTTTGTCACTAACAGAGTGACTGTGGAATGCCCTATGGATCCAGATGTTAATCACCCTTCCCCTATTTGCAGAGTTGGAACAAGGATGAGCTTAGTGTTCTGCTGCCCCTCAGACTACTCATTCACCAATGAGTTTGTAAGGCACTTGGTTAATAACTGCTTTGATTAGAACCTACAGGACAACAAGCTCTTGATGACACCTAAGGACACCTGTTACCTGCTGTTCTGCACCAGGAGGTGCTGAGCCATTATGATCCTGGTAAAGATGGCACTCATCATGTTGTAAAACATGGTTTGAGATTCTCCTTAGCAGAGCTAACAGCAGGAAGTGAGGTTGTAGTACAGATATGGTCACGTCCTTTTAGAAGCTAGGAGCCAAGAGTTGTGCAGCGCTTAGTGGGTCAGAGCACAGGACACAGTGCCAGCCCCATCCATAAAAAAGGTTACCCCATTTTGGCCATTCAAGCTGTCAGAGGATTTTCTGAGTAAATTCCAGCCCTGTCCAGTATTTCTTGAGGACTTGCTGCACTAAATGAAAAGAACGATCACCAGGACAGAGTGTGAGCTGTCTGTGGCAAAAACAGGAAGGAATCTTGGACCAGTCCTTTCAAGCTTGTTGCAGCCTCTGAGGGGTAGGTGGTGTCTTGCAAGGCTTGTGTCTAGATCCTCCTGACTTGGCTAGGATCATTAAAAGAGCAAAAAGTATCAGTTTTACTTTATCCTTCACTTTGTGCAAATTTTCTCTCCTGCTTATCACTTGCGTCATACGCAGTGCTGGTGTTGCACTACTTCAAGTCCAGAGGTGCCATTATGGTTCTGATTTGAAGGCTCACTTGGATATGCTTCAGGTCTGATTTTCTTTCTAAAAGATACATACCCAAACACCCTATCATTTTGAAGGGAGACCCCCAGGCAGCTTTGAAAATCAAGTTCTTAGTGTCAATTTGGACAATAAAATGTAGCAGCTCCTTAAGCCACAGCTTTATGCTGTCTGTATCGCGTCTGTGACTGGCAGTATGGGTCTGTTTTCTCTCTAGGGCAAGAGCTGCATAAAATTTGTGGAGAGATTTCTGAAAAGACTTTGATGAGGTGGTTTTGTAGAATTGTCAAGTGCTTCATTGCAGAAATAGCCCAAACCATTCTTCTCCTCTTCTAGGTTTGGTTACCCGGATTCTTCTTATCTGCAGCGCGTTCGATCAGAATTGAAAGCAAAGGGAATTGAATAAGGAAATCTGTGAATTCTCAACTCCTAAGTGCAATGACTGACACAGCAGTTAATGTACTAGTCAAGCTCTGAGGGAAGTTGCTTTGTTTAACTACAGTATCTAAATTGCTTGTATTTCAGAGTTAGCTAAGAAAAGTAATCTTTTCTCATCAAACAATGTATGTTCTTCTCACAAATCATTTCCTTCCCTATATATGTAGCCTTTACAAAATTTGGTTCTTGTGAGTGTGGTATCAGTACTGTTTGCACTTTGTATATCTTGCTTTACTAGCAAATCTGATTGCCACTTTTCTCCACAACTCTCCAGTCTGATTTCTAAAACCCTTAGATCCACTTTTATTGGAGGGAACACTTCTCTTTGCTTTGCATTATGATGTCTGTCAGCATGGCTGGCATCATGTAACCTAATCTAATCTAAATCTAAAATTTGTATGCAAATTTGTATGCAAATATGTAATCTAATCTGAAATTTGTATGCAGCTATAACAGTGTTAGCTGTGATAAGGTTATGGACTTTTGCTTCTTTTCATGGTAGAAATGGCCTTAATGATTTGGGTCTTGCATGTGAAATTAGCTGTGGATCATGTACAAGTGGGTACATGGATGTTTGCTCTGCAGGAGTGCTGAATACTGAGAGCTGTGTTGGAGCAAACGGGAAGCAACAGTGTCATAACTGATAGTGGGCTCCTGGTTCTGTGCCTGCTTAAACTTCAATACAACTTCTAAATCCGTTTTTTCAACTATAAAGCTGCATTCTTTCAATTGCATCTAATATAGGTTTAAATTGTATCATAAAGATACTCTGCAGTGCCTAAATAACCTGTTAATTACCTGTGTTATGGTATTTTTAGTAAGTTGAACCTTTTCTCTAAGGCTACTGAGTGCAACTAATAAAGAAAATACAAAGATACCACACGTGTTTCTTCTGTACAAGTTTTCCTCCTTTTTTGCAATACATATGGCTGTATATATTTTTTAGATTTAGGAGCTTCCCTGAAACTACCATGTTTTGGGGCAGTTTGGACTCCATGCCACCCCCTTTTTAAAAATGTATTACTTTTTTTTATTGAGATTCCCATATTGTGAATGGGCACTACAACTTTGCCACCTTGACTTTCAGGTTTAGTAGGAGTGGGCACCGTTTGGTTTCCATGTGGGTTGGGATGTCTTTCCAGCCCTGCTTTTGTGTTACTGTATTTGTTTTAATATTTTACATGATTCCACGTCCCCCCTCCCTTTCCATGCAGTTAGATACCAACACTCCATTTGTTTCTAAGTGACAGAGCTTTCCTGCACATGGAAACAAATTGTCACTGTGCTTTAATCCCAGCCAGCAGCTACCTGCCACACAGCCACTCGCTCACCCCCCAACCCCAGCAGGCAGAGAAGCCTTGTGCTTTGAAATAAGAGCAATTTATTAATCAAAACAAAATGAATTATACTATAACTAATAACTGTAATGAGAATCAGTTGCCCACCAAGAAACAAAGGCATTCCCATGGGTCACTCAATACAGTATCTGATGATACCTAGGCTTAGCTGGATGCTTATAATTTTTAATGACATTTATTTATCCATTTCTTAACCTTCAGTGAAATTAGGGGAGAAAACTTCATTTATCTGCTATTTTAGTGTCCCATATTTGGCCACAAGGTAAAATACACAGCACGAAATAGCTGAAAACAAACCTTTGCAAGAGAAAGTCCTGAGCACTCGGTTGAAAACTTCTCAGCTAGCTGAAAAGTTGGTCTGAAGTAAACGCCCATTGCAACCTTCCACGGTTGTGGAAGCATCTCTGGGCAAAGAACGATGAAAGTGGTAATTTTACTTTGCATCGTGACTTCATTTGAAAGAGTAAGGGAGGGAGAGCGGGTGTTAGCCGGTGGTTAAGCAGTGTGAGTTCAGAGGCTGAAAACGCTGTCACCCCGGTTTCTTGCACGGCTCTGGAGGCACAAGGGGCGCGCCCCGAGGGCTCTGAGCGGCCTGTCCTGCCCCGTGCGGGCGCGGCGGGGCCCGCAGCCCGGCCGTGCCCATGCGTCCCGAGGCGGAGGCTGCTCCCGGCGCTGGGAGGGGCCCCGGGCGTTCTCGGGTTCTGCGGGGAATCGAAAGCGAAAGCGGCGGGAGCGGAGCGCTCGGGCGGCCATGGAGGGGCAGCGGCCGTGCTCCTTCGCGCTGCTGGTGCGAGGGGACTGGGGCCCCGCCGAGCCGCCGGCCGCGCTCAGGAAGAAGCTGCTCTGCTACTTCCAGAGCCAGAAGCGCTCGGGCGGCGGCGAGTGCGAGCTGCGGAGCGGGACCGGGAGCGGGGCCGGGCACATCCTCGTCTGCTTCGCCCGCCCCGAGGGTGAGCGGCCGGGCCGGGCGGATCGGGGGGGCTGATGGCGATGCCCGCGGGCAGACGGGCGCGGGGCGGCCGCATCCCCCTGACCGGTGCCTGCTCTGTTGGCAGTGAGGGAGCGGGTGCTGAGGCGGCCGGCCCACGAGCTCGTGTGGGGGTCCGGAGAGCGGCTGTCGCTGCAGGTCACCGCGCTGCCCGCGGACGGCGGCCCCGCGCAGGTGAGGCGGGCGCGGGTGAGGCGGGCGCGGGTCCGGGCGGGCGGGGGAGCTGCTCTGTTGGGTGACCGCTCTCCTCTCGATCCCTTGCAGGAGCCGGGACCGGCCGGCGGGACCCAGAGTCCAGGTGGGAGCTGCGGCAGGAGCGGCGGGGGGTCCGGGGCTGGCGAGGCACCGGCCCGGGGAGCCCTGCGGGGAGCGGGCGCGGGGAAGCAGCGCAGCCGCTGCTCGGCCGGGCCGGCCGAACGGCGCTGTAGCGCTCTGATTCTTCTGTCCAGCGCTCCCGTTCACTTCCCCAACCCCAAACACGATGGAGTTCCTGTGGTGCAGTCTCCGAGCCACATCCCAGGCACCGGACAGACCAACCGATTATCATGGCTAATACACACACACTGCAGAGTCAATACACGCACAGCTGCTCAATGCACATCTGGCTAATACACAGGACTAATCAATACACGCACGGCCAATACATAGCTAATCAATGTGTGACTAACAGTACACACAGAAGTAATCAATATACACAGGGCTAATGCACACGCAGCTCGCTGAGCTCTGCTTTCAAAGCACCTGCTTGTGCATAGAGGAGTGATTGTGCAGGTGAGGGCTGAGGGCACAGGCTGCAAAAGCAGCTTGGTCAATCGTACCATTGTCCTTTGTTTCCTAACGTAGCTGCATTTCCTCTTGTTCTAAACTAGGAAGTTGAGCAGTCACGCTGCGTCAAACACATCCTGGTAGAGGCTCTTCCAGAGGTCTCAGTTTTCAAAGGCACTTCCTCCCAAGGGCTGATGTCCTCAGCACTTCTTACGTTCAGTGCAGCTTTTTGTGTGATGCGAGTGCTGTAGTGCATGGCAGGACCTGCTCATGCTGGTTCGTGCAGCAGGACTGTGCTGACATTATGCCCAAGGCTTCTTGAGCTCAACATTTGGTTTAAAAATAGAGGAGTCTGTGATTCTGACAGTGTCAAATTAAACTTAATTCAAGCTGTGTTAGCTCCTGGGTGTACATTAATGTGTCCATTTTCTTCTTGAAGTACCCAGCAACTGAGAAACCCTTGTCATTTATCTCTAGTTAATGAACCCCAGGTGTCTCTTCCCGTCTGCCGGAATAAGGGAACTCCTGTGTGTACTCCGCAGAAGAAGACGGGTAAGTGTGTCACTTTACTGGTGGTGACCATTGTATTCTTGCTCCTTTGGTTTTCTGGACCTTTCTGCTGCAGCAGTGCCCTGGTCACCCTCGTGGCTTGTATTGTTTGTCTAATGTAGTGTAAGAATTGTGATCCCAGGCTAAAAGAAATAAATATATTTTTTCCTTTCTGAGTCTCTTTAGAGCCCCCACTTCACTCTGTACCTCAGTCAGTTCCTTAGGGGACAGCAGTGGATGCTGGCCTTTGTTCTGGCTCAGGCTGTCCCTACCCAGGCCTTCCCAGCTGCTGCCAGCCCTGCTGGGGCAGCCCTGTGCCAGAGCATCGGGAGCTGTGTACCCCAGGTACACCTGAGCAGCCGTGGCACCCAGCAGGTATAGACCCCAGGTGACCCACAGCAATGTCTGAACTGTGAATGGGGAGCACTGGTTTCCTGCATTGCGTGTTTGTGAAAAAGCTTTTGTGTCTTTTACTTCTGCTGTCCTTGCCTGGTGATGAGCTGAAGCATTTCCTCCCTACGTGTTGGTACAGCAACTCCCATTACTGATGTGCTTAACTTGTTTGGGATTCTTATCCTGTTCTTTTCCCTGAGTGTGATCTGAACAAAAAGAAAAAATGGTGTGAAAGCTTAGAAGGTGGGGAGGTTGGTTTTCTTCTTAACTTTTGCCTAAGGCATTATGGTGTGATCTTTTATTTCAGAATCATGTGAGAAATTGGAAGCAGAGAAAGTAACCTCTGGGAATTCTGCTGTAGTAGTAACCACTGTCCTTGGGGAGGAAATAGGAGATGAGCTTTTGGAAATGTACTTTGAAAGTAAAAGGAGATCTGGTGGGGGGCCCATTGAGTCCTATGTCAAAAAGGATGACCAAGCAATCATCACCTTTCAGGATGAGCGAGGTATGTTATGAGTGTTACACTGCTTAAACTCCCTTTTAAAAATAGGCCTTTGCTGGTGCAGGATCTCTCTGTGGGCATTGCTCCAGGCAGAAATGGTGTATTATTGCTACTGTTTAAGATGCTACTCTGCTGTGACATCTCCATTTTTCTGTGGAACTAGATGCCCAAGAAGTTTTGCAAAGAAAGCATCACTTGAATAAAATTGATCTGGTTGTGAAGCCGTGGCAAGTGGCAGCTTCCCAGGAGTTGTGCCAAGTGGAGAGCTCTGAAGGATCCCTGCTTCCCACTGCGGTTGTGCTGGAAAATGTGAAGGACACAACCAGAGATTGCATGTTAATTTTGCTGGTAGAGAATGTCAGTGGCTTGTCAGAGGAGGATGGTGACTTCAGTGTGGAAATGATACCTGAGTTATGTGCTGCTGTAGTTACTTTTACTGGAAATACTGGTAAGAAGGAGTCAGAGTTGAAGCACTTTTTATTAGCTACATGTTTATATGCATGTGTGTGAGTGAGATTAAGCTGGAAGTATTATCTTTTGTATTTTTAAGGTTTGATCTGATAGTATGTCCTTTTAAAGGAGGGTTTACTTTACTAGAGTTAATGCCATAACCTTTATCTGTGAGGTGGAGAGGCCAGTGCAAGTCAGAAAGAGAGCTAGCTCTGGTTTGGGTAGTAAACACAACAGGTAGGACTAAAAGCAAACTACAGCTTAAAACAAGCAGTGAAGGATGTACTTGGTCTGAGAACAGATCGATGGTAAAAGCTGTCCTTGCCAAAAACTGCAGAGAAGGTATAGGTTTTTCTGCCTTAGAAATTATTTGTCTCTCAAGTCATGCTCCAGTCCTAAATTTTTGGTGTGGCCTTTAGGAAATAAGTGGATCTTTAAGAAACTTAATTTTTTTTTCCCTTGAGAGATGGAAAAATGATTTGACTGTCTTTTATTGTGAGAATAACAGGGGGGAAATAGCCTAAATGTATTATAAAATTGAGAGAATGTATTATAAAATTGAGAGAATTTGAATTGTTAACTTGTGTCTTATTAGTTGTGTATGAAGCCATAGCCTAAAATTGAACCTGATATTGTTTTCTGCTGAAGCTAAAGACACCCAGTGATAGTCTGTAGGAAAACTAGTGGCAAATTCTGGCTGTGATCATTGAAGTCAACAATTGTGATCAACCATGAGGGGAATACTAAGTGACAGATACTATGTGGAAAGAAGTAGCTTTGTGGGCAGCTCTGGACTGGTTTTGTAATTCAGAGCTTTGATCAGTGTACACAGTGATAGTTTGCTAACAGCGTGGTAAAAAAACAAGCTCCGA